TGTGCCCTTGACCTTGGCCCCAGGCACCGTGCAGCTGGAGGGAGGTGGGAAGTGGGCTGGGACAGGGGACCCCAGGCCCCTCCTGCCCACCGCAGCCCCTCTGCCGGTGCCAGCACCCACCCCGGTGGCCCTCTGTTGAGATGAGGAGCTGTCCCCGACTCTGCTGCATCCCATGACCTCGCCAAGGTGACTGGTGGCTCCAGACTCAGGCAGGGTCCCCACTGCCTTCCAGCCTGGTCCCTCCTGGTCAGCCTGGGCACTAACAGGGCCGGGGGCAGGGGACTCGAGGGGCCCCACTGCAGAGCCTAGACCCCAGGACGTTTTCTCTGTTCACGGCCTTCCACCTGCGGGAGCCCCAGGGACCCCACCAAACTGGGTCCAGACACCCAGCCCTGAAGTGGCTGCTGGGCGGGAGGTGGGCCAGGCCTGGAGGCGATGGGCTGGGCAGGAGCAGCCTGGGGCCACGCAGGGGTGGGTGCAGCCTCCAGTGTGGGGGGGCTTCAGGAGGCAGGCACCTGCCAGAATTGACACCCAAAGTCAAGGCGTTCCGTGGGGGCAGTTGCCTCGAATCAAACCCCCTCTGTGACATCCCAGCCCTCAGGAGGCTGAGGCAGGAGGATCGCAGAGTCAAGGCCAGCCTCAGCAACTTAGTGAGACCCTGTCTCAAAATAAAAAGGGCTGGGATGTGGCTCAGGGGTAAGCGCCTCTGGGCTCAATTCCCTGACGGAAAAACAATCAACAAAACCCACCGGGCTGTTTGCGGGCTGTCACCCTTGCAAAATGGGGTGCTAGCAGCTCACCCCGGAGCTATCACAGGGTAAAATGAGCTGGAGAGAGTGGGCAAACACTTGGCGCCTACTCGGTGCTCAGAGAGCAGTGTCTGTTACCCTGGCACCCAGCACGTGCGTGCGGCTTGCCTTTAGCAGTTGGGTCCTGTGTGTGGAGCCCGAAGTGTCACACACACTCAAAAGCCAGGGGACGGTGTCGGGGTCAGTGGCAGAACCGGGCCTCGCCTGTGGGAGGCCCTGGGCTCCGTTCTCGGCACCACGTGTAAATAATGAGTAAAATGAAGGCCCTTCAACAACTAAAAATTAAACAAAAATGAGGGGGCTGGGTTTCCTGGGGGCGTGTGCTTTTTTTAAAGAAATGGAAGGAGGCCCGGAGTGGGGGTCTGGAGTCTTCCCGCCTGTTCCTGGGCCGGGATCAACCCCCAGGGCCACTCACCCACCCGCCTCCCTCTCCCTGGGGAGGCCCAGCCTCCGCTTAATCCCTGGAATTGAGGTTTAATCAGGAGAAGTTCAGGGGGACGGCCTCCCAGGTGTGAGGCCCGAGAGGCCGCATGGAGGGGGCGGGACCGGGGGCCGTGTTGATGTGGCACCGTGGGGTCTCCACCTTGGCCACTGAGTGTCTCGCTTGGTGGTTCATTGGCGGGGTCTGCCTGCCCCGCTGGACGGGGGCTCTAAGGGAGGTATCTTCGTCTCCTTCCCTGCAGTGCCCGGTGTGCACTAGGCGCTCAATAAGTGTTGAGTAAAAATACACAGGTCCTGCAGGTACTCCTGGGCTTCCTGCAGCTGCTCCCGCCTAGAAGCCGGGAGGGGGTGACACAGAATCCCAGCCCTCCCCGCTCCCTCTGTGGCCACACCTGGCCTGTCCTGGGTCTCTCCTTCCCCCTCCCCTAAGGCATAGGCCTGAGGGAGGACCACGTGCCGGGGGGCACCCGCGGGGACTGCGCTGACACTCCTCAGCCCCCTGTGGCCCTCGGGGGAGGCTGGCCTGTCCTCTGCCCAGGGCCCTCTACTCTGATCCCGGGCTCCAGGCACCCAGTCCTCCAGCCGAGATAAGCTGCTTGAAGTTTTGCGACAAGGACCCTGGCGGGTGGGCCGTCCTGTGGGAAGATGAGGGACAGAGTGACATTCGAGGGACGGACACCTGTGCCTTCTGGAAGCTGGAGACCTGGCAGGCAGAGGAGGGATCTCAACTCCTCCCCTTCACAGCGGGTCCTTTCACAAACCCTCCTGGACCGGGCCCAGTGCCCCAGAGGGGACTTGGCAGGGGCCCTGCCCTCGGGACTGAGGGGCTCAGTGGGACACAGAGCAGAGCAGCTGGTGCTGAGCCACAGGGACCCCAGCTCTACTGGAGGAGGTGGATCCTTTAAGAGGCGGGGCCTGGAGGGAGGCCTTAGGCCATTGGGGGCGTGGCCTCGGAGCCCCATCTTCCCCTCCCTCTTGGCTTCCTGGTCCGGCTGCACCCGAGCTCCCCCCGGTACCTTGATGTGCTGCCTTCCCGCAGGCCCCGGGCAATGGCCAGCAGATCCAGGCCTGAGCCACCAAAACCATGAGTCAAATGAACCTGAGGTGACCGTCTCAGGTGTTTGTTATGGTGACAGGCGGCCGACACATTGAAGTAGTTGGGGGATATATCGAGTTGGAAAAGATTACTAAAATTAACTTAAACTGTGCTGTTTCCCTTTTTTCCCCTGCGGCTACCCGTACAATGTCAGATTGCACCTGTGGCCAGCGGGATATTTCCAGTGGACAGTGCCAAGGTAACTTGATGACATTGAATTGCTAAGATGTGTCGCTTTTCCACTGACCACCAGAGGGCGCTGTGTCCCTGCAGCAGGGTAGGGCGATCTGGAGTCTGTAGGAGCAGGAAGTAGTTCTGGCAAACTATTGGTCCTCTGTGGTTGTTGAGTTCTTAAGCTCAGACCTGTTTGCCACCCACATTTTTACCATCTAAGGGACACAGATCTGTCCACTGGGTGAGGATTTTATTCCACCTTTGACCCGTTTTATTCTGCCAACAGGGGGAGAGAATTAGGCTTCCAATACCCCCACTGATTCTGCAGCACTTATTGGACACCTGTTGCATACTACACTGTATTTGCTTGAGGCACTCCCCACCCCACAGACCAATTCATCCCAACAGATGAGAATGTTTTTTCTTCCCTTTTTCCCAAATGAGAAAACTGAGGCCCAGAGAGGGAAAGTGAGCTGCCCAAAGTGGCCCAGCTCAGCCCAGGCCTTCCCACCCAGCTCTGCCTGGCTCCAAAGCCTCTGGACTCCTCCTCTTGGCCAGCTGCCTCTCAGCCTCTAATAAACTCCGGAGAAGCACTGGGCAGACGGCGGCGAGGACACTCTCTATCTGTCGGGATCAGGCTGGCTCGCTGGCGCAGGCAATGATTAATTCTGAGTTTGGCCCATTTATCACGGCGGCAGGAGCGAGGACGCCTGGAATCCCAACCCGGGCCTCGTGCCCCTGGGCAGCCTGGAGCCAGGCACAGAGGTGGCAAGAACTGGGCGGGGGAGGGGCCTCGGCGAGCCGGGGCGGGAGCCGCACTCGGGGCTGCTGGGTCCCGGGTGCCCCGCAGTGACCAGACCAGCCTCCACCTTCACGGTGCCCACAGGCTGGCGGGGAAACACACCAATGAATAATGATATAAATAATTGATGTCACGAAGGAGTGGAACAGGATGTCCTGAGAATACAAAGCCAGGTGGCGGCTGCTCTGCCCCCGCCCCAGCAACTGGGAGGTGCGGGGGAAGGCTGGAAGGTGGAGGCAGCAAGTGCGGAGGCTGGGCAGCCTCCATCTGGGGAGCTTCGGTCAGGGCCAAGTCAGGAGCCCTCAGGGCACAGCCTGGAACCCTCACTGTGTGGCCAGCAGCCTCCAGTGGACAGCCAGGGGCCCTCACTGGACGTCTCCTCGATGCCCTGGGCGCTGGCGAGGCCGCCCTTCCCCACGTGGTCAGAGGCTCTGCTGGTTCCCCCCCCACCAGGATGTCCCAGCCCCCTGGGGCACGAGGGGCAGTCAGGGTTTCTGTCAGGAAGACGCTCCAGGCCCCATCCGAGGCCCGTCCTCTCTGGGCAGGTGGGAAACTGGCCCAGGAGAGGCCTCACCCAAGTTCAGCAGGACGCCGCTGGGCGAGGGGCTTTGGGAGCCCCCAGGAGCCCGCCCTGCAGCTCCCACACTTTCTGTTAGACCGTGGGCCCACGGGGGCGTCAGCTGAGTGGCCTGGTCACCACACTGTCCCCAGGACTCGGTGCCTAGGATGGACCCAGGGCCAAGCGTGCAGGGCAAGTGCTGACCAGGGAGGCAGGCGCACCAGCCCCAGGGAGGCTCAGCAGGGTGTCCGGGAGACAGTCTGGAATGGCAGGGTGGCCGAGGTCAGGGACAGGGGGCAGGGACCGGGCAGAGCCGGGCTGAGGTCCGGGGGTTTCAGCTGCACTTGGACACTCCTGCGGAACCGCTTGGGTCCCCCCCACCCAGGGAGCCCCTCCCACCCTCTGGGGCCCTGGCGGGCGGCTCCTCCCAGGACGCGGCTGCCAAGTCTCACCTGAAACTCGGGCGCCCAGACTTGCCCTGGGTGGGGCCGAGCCGAGGCGAGTGGGTGGCCGCCTCCTGCTGCCTGGCCAGGAGCTGCCCAGGACGGGGGGGGGGGCACCCAAGGGACACAGCCAGGTCGGAGGTCGAACTTGACTTTTATTCTGTACACGCCCCAGACAGCCCCGGGCTGCGGACCCCAGTTCTGCCATCTGTAGCGGAGGCAGCCGGCCCAGGGCAGCAGGGGAGACCCGCCGTGAGGGTGGGATGGGCGAGTGGCGGGCCCCTGCTGGAGTCCGGCCGCGCTGAGCAGAGGACGAAGCAGGACAGGCCGGTGCCCTCAAGGTCAAGGCCGAGAAGGCCCCAGTGTTCCCGGGACCCTGCCCAGCCAGGCCAGTCCTGGAGGACCTCGGAGGACTCTAGCCGCAGTCACCTCCCCTGAGCCACAGGTTCTGCCCACTCTGCTCCGCCATGACGCCTGGGGCAGAGATGCCCTCCATGTGGCTGTGTGACCAAGGGCCACCCTGGCCCTCTCTGTGCCTGCTGACAGCAGGAAGCTGGAAGTCCTGCCGCTGATGACATTCATCCCCGGCCTGGGGGGGCTCCGACAATGAGGGGAGAGAGAAGAAATGGATGGAGGGAGGGGGAGGGGAGAGCGAGGGGGAGGGGGAGGAGAGTAGGAGGGGAGGGAGGGGGAGAAGCAGGGGGGGAGGGGAGGGCCTGGAGAAGAGAAAGGAAGGGGCAGGGAGGGAGCGGGCAGGAGGCCTGCAGCCCACCAGGCCATCACCCGGGACAGGTCCGACATTATTATTTCAGACCACGCCAGCGCTGTCGGGCCTTAAGAAATGGGTGGCGATTTGCATGCAATTTGCATGCGATTTGCATACTGTTTGTTAAATGTCAAACGCCCTGAAAACGCCCCTCCCCCACCCGCCTGGCAGCAGGGACCCTGCCGTCCTGCCTGGGCTGGGCCCGATCCAGGGGCTGGGCGGGAGTCCCAGGCCGGTGCCCTGGGCAAGCTGAAGCCCATCCGTGAACCGGCCAGGCGCCTGGCGGCCACCTCGCTGCAGGTGTGCAGCGGCTGGCGGCGGCAGGGAGCAGGAGCCGGGGCCCTGCGTCCTTGGCAGCCGCCGCGGCCTCGCTGGCCCAGCGCAGGGAAGGTCTCCGGGAGGAGCCGGGGCTGGGCTGCAGCCAGGGATCAGGTGGGGACGGGAAGACCACCCAGGACGGCGGGGACCTCGTCCCAGCGCGGCGGCCAGCCCGGCCTGCAGAAGAGCAGTGGGTCCCTCCTCGGCTGGGGGCTGGCGGGAGTGCGGGAGCAGCCCTCCCGGCCCGCCCCAGGCCCTGTGGCCACTGATGCCTCCGCCCGCGACCCGGGGCTCAGAGCCCAGAGCCGCGGCCCACGCGGGGTGGGGAGAGACCCTGCCAGGGGCAGCTGCACGGCCCAGGCCAGAGTCCACGCAGGGGGACAGGGAGGCCGCCCAGCGACAGGGGGACAGATGCATGTTCAGGGTTCGAGAACCAGCCCAAGGCTGGGGCCACCAGGTCCCCCTCTGGCATGTGAGACTTGGTGAATGTTCACAGCAGGAGGCCTGTGGGAACAGAGGGGACAGGTGCTGGCGGCTGCGGAGGAGCCAGTCCCAGGGGACTTCCTGGAGGAGGCTGCACTGGGCTGGCTGGTGACGGGGCGCCAGGCAGGGGCAGCAGGGGCAGGCGTGGCCGTCACATGGTCCGAGGCAAGAGGGGCCCCTCTTCTGTGGGGCTGGGTGGGGGATCGGGTGGGTGCAGTCTGGTGCCAGTCACGGGGTCCCCTCTGGCTGTCCACAGGGAGGAGACTGGCTTCCAGGTCACAGCACAGATGGAAGGCCACGGCTGGGGTGTGGAGCTGGTCAGGGACAGACGTCCTAGGTCAGGGTCCGGGACAGGGCTCCATCAAGAGTTCGAGGCGCAGCCGCAGCCCGAGGCCCTGGGTGTCTCCTGCACCTGGGAGCCCGGACCTGGGGCAGGAGCAGAGGGAAAGGCCACTTCAGCCCAGGCCACGGGGGTGACCGGCTCTCAGGCCCATGTCCCTCCCTTTTCCCTAACAGCTCTGACGTTGGCCACTGTCCCTGCACCTACCCCTATGTCCCTGTTCCCTCCAAGACAGACAGGGGTGGCTTCCAGGGGCTCCCCTGCCCCCGGCTCCGCTGTGTTGGGCCACCTGGTGGCAGATTCAGGAATTGCAGGCAAAGGGTGAGGTGGGGAACAGGTGCCAATCAAAGCCCAAGGCTTCATTTCAAGATGGCAGCACAGAGAGAGCCCAGAGGGGATGAGCGACTTCCCAAGGTCACACAGCAACTTGGGGGCAGCTCTGCTCAGAGCCATTTCCTTTATCCAAAGGCAGTTGAGAAGTGGAGGCCAGCATCTCCACCCCAAGGGCAGAAGCCCGGGAGGAGGGTGACTGACCCGGAGGCCTGTCCTGTCTTGTCTCTGGCTGTTTCTGCTCAGGTCCCTTCCGGGTTCCAGGTGCTAGAGTGACCTACCTGGAGTAAGGCCCAGGCTCCCAGGAGGCGGGGAGGCGCCTCCCTGGTGCCCGCGCCCGCCAGCTCCTTCACGCAGCACCTGGAGGCCCCTCCAGCATGGCTCCGCCTCCTCCAGCCCAGACTACCTGAAGACAGGGACAGACAGACCCAGGTTCAGACAGACACAGCCCTTGCCCCAGGCGTCCCCCACACCTGCCAGGACTCGCCTCCCCACTCCCAGTCACCACCAGGGCAGGCAGCGCTGTCTTGAGCACCTACTGTGTGCCGCGCCTGCCCTGGGGGTGCGGCTCTGGGTTAAGCAGGGTGGTGGGAAGGGGCTGGGCGTGGCTGGGCGGTGGAGGTGAGGCATGGTGAGACCCGGCACCACAGAAAACAGATAAACCAAATGAAGGTCTTAAACACGACACCGACACCGACACCGCGTTTAAATGAGAAGCCGAGGGGTGGGGATGGGATCTGGGGAAAAGCTCCCAGCAGAGGGTGCAGCTGTGCAAAGGCCCTGGGGCAGGACTGGGCCTGGGGTTGGAGGCACCGGAGGAGCCTGGGGGCTGGAGCAGGGGACGGGAGGGAGGGGACAGGCAGGATGTGCAGGGGCCTGCAGTCTGCAGGGCGGACCTGGGCTTTGACTCCGCCTGGAGGTGGGAGCCCTGGAGGGCTGTGGGCAGGGGACAGGGACGGCCTCTGGCTCGCAGTGGGCACCTCTGGGGCTGAGGGGGGTGGGTGCTGAAATCATCTGCAGGCGGCTGCAGGGGCTGGGGAAGGGGCACCTGCCACCCAGTGAAATGACAATAGAAGTAAGAGCCAGTGACCCCACGGGGAGGGCGCAGGGGTCAGGCCAGGCCCCGGGCTCCGCCCCCCTCCCGCCTGGAATCCAGGCAGCAGCGGGGCCCTGGGGACCCGGGCGCCTCCTCGTCCACGCTGGCCTGCGTGGGCAGCAGGTCCCTGTGCCGACTGCCCTGGGCAGTGCGGCCATCTGGAGGCGGGAGAGTCACCACCCACTTCACAGTTTAGAAACCAGAGGTGACAGGAGACCAGAGGAGACAGGAGGGAGCCCAGGATCGGGTGAGGCCCGAGCCAGCAGAGTGGGCAGCAGGTCCAGCGCGTCCCCCTCTTCTCTGACGGACAGCTGGGGCCCTGTCCACCTCTGTCTGCGTGTAGCTCCAGGTCTTAGAGCCCACTCAGAGGCCCAGAGAGGCTGGGTGCACCGCCCCAGGACACACAGCCAGGGGGTGGCAAAGACGAGGGGCCGGGGCCTGTCCTCCCTGTCTGCTGGGGAGCACAGCCGGGCTCTGCCATCAGCCCAGCTCTGTGTGGTCAAGGACCCAGGACAGGACAGGACACCAGGGCGGGGCAGGAGCCAGAGGAGGCCAACATCGTCTCCGCCCTCTCCTGACCCCCACGCTCACCCCCAAGCCCGCTGCCCCAGAGTTGGCAGAACAGCCCGCGGGCACCCGAGTCCGGCCCGTCCTCTGCCCACTGCCCTGCACGGCTCCCTCCTCCCTCAGGGACCCCCGCCCCGTGCCTCAGGACCTTTGCACGGCTGGCCGTGTCCTCTGCCTGGAGCGCCCCCCTCCTGTGGCTGGCCCTGTCCCTCCCAGCCAGGCTTCCGGCCACTGCTGCCAGAGTGGCCGCCTCTCCTCGAAGCCATGGTCAAGAGCTGGCATTTCATGACAGGCGCATCTGCCCCCCAGCTGGACGGCGAGGCCTGGAGCGCGCCTGGCCGCGAGGCGCTTCCTCCAAGCTTCCAGCACCTTGAGCGACCGTTTCCCGGCGGTTTGAGGGTCGCCCACCGCCAGGAACGTGTCTCTCAGCCCTAAGCCCTGAGCCCCACCCTTCATCACCCACAAGCCTCCCCCTGCCCCCAGAGACCTTCCTCAATCGGGCCCAGTGGGGAACCCCACCTCCAGCCTCCCAGAACAGAATGGCGGCCGAGGCTCCATCTCTCAAACCATATCCCAAGCTTGGTGGACCAGGCCACAAGGGGCCTGGCAGGTGTCACAAGGGTAACACTGTGACACCCTGTCCTTTCTCCGCTCAACACCTCCAGGTGGCATCTGAGGCTCCACGACCAGCCCCTGTCCCCTCTGCCACCCACCCACCTTGCCAAGTGCCAGCTGCCACCCAGCTCCCAGTGGCCTCCACCTCTGGAGGTGCCATTCCCATGGCCAGAGCACCGCTCTGCAGACCCCTCCTGGGGCGGGAGACCCTTCCTCAATCACCTCGGCCAGGGGACTGCCCTGGAGTCCCCTTGTGGCCAGCTCCAAGTGTGGGCAGCAAGTTTCAGAAAAAAGCTGTGGAGAGACAAGTGGGCGGGGAGGGAGCAGAGAGGGACTGGGAGGAGGCAGGGGAGACCAGCAGAGGCAGCAGGGGCCTGGGACCACGCCTGTGACCCCAGCAGCTCGGGAGGCTGAGGTGGGAGGATCACGGAGACAAGGCCAGCCTCGGCTACTTAGCGAGGCCCTCACTGAAAATATAAAAGGGGCTGGGGCTGGGGCTCAGTGGTTCCAGGCTTCAATCCCTGGTAGCAAAAGAAAAAAAGGCCGGGAGGCCGGGAGGCGGGGAGGCAGGGAGGCAGGGAGGCCGGGAGGCCGGGAGGCCGGGAGGCCGGGAAGCCCTCGCTGAGAGAAAGCAGAGACAGACGCGGATTCAGACAGAGACAAGAAGAGACACACGGAGAGAAGGTGGAGGAGGGCAGCGGGGACAGGGACACCACCCAGGGCAGCTCCGGAGGCCCCGGCCCTCCCGCGCCCTCCCGCGCCCTCCCGCGCCCTCCCGCGCCCTCCCGCGCCCTCCCGCGCCCTCCGCCGGGCCACCTGGGGTCGCTGACCAGCAGCAGCACCGCGCCGTCCTGCAGGCGCGCCTCGCGCACCGTCTGGTGGTCGCGCAGCGGCCGCGCGTTGTAGTAGAAGGTGCGCTTCCAGGAGCCCACGCCCTGGCCCACCAGCTGCGCGCGCAGGTCGCTGAGCGTGTCCCGCGGGCGCACGGTGAGCGGCAGCAGCAGCGCCTCGTCGGCCAGGTGCACCTTGATGTGGTAGCGCTTCCAGCGCCACAGCCCGCGCCGCAGCCCCTCCATGGCGCCCGGCGCCGGCCGCTCCAGTGGGGCGAGCCGCGGCCCAGACCCGGGCGTGTAGATGACCGCGGTCACGTGGTGGGAAGTGCGGGCGCGGCCGGGCCGGAGCCTCCCTCCGGGGCGGTGGCCTCCCAGGAGATCTGAGGGAGGGAGCCGCGCTCCGCAGGCTCAGGGATCCCGGCGGCTCCGGACGACTGCGGACATGCAAAGGCCCTGGGGCAGAGCGCAGGCAGGTGGGAGGCGCGGAGCCGCGGGTCTGGCTGGAGCAGAGCCGGCGGGTGGCGGAGGGAGGCGGCTGATGGTGCGGGGTCTCAGGCCCAGGGACGACTTGGCTCTTCTTCCTTGGAGGGCAGGCCCCGAGTAAGGACCTGATGTCCTCACCCAGCGTCTGCCTGTGTCCAGCTGGGCTGCGGGACGTGGACTCTGCCCTCTGGGGAGAGTTGGGAGAGGGGACACACTGCACACACACTGTCCTCTGCTCAGGTGGCCAGGGCCTGAGTAGAGGGAGAGCCCTCTGGGACCTCCACTGGGAAACGCAGGCGATGGGGATGGTTCCTCAAAGCGTGGGCTTTCCACCTGGGGTTTCAGCGGGTGACTAAGAGTCCGTGGCTCCCACAGGAGGCAGCTGCCCCTCATGACCACACGCCCACGGTGTGCCCAGCCACTGCCCTGCACCCTCCAGTCCCACGTGACAGGCGCCGGGCCATCCCTGCTGGGCCAGGACCCTGGCGTGGCCTCAGCCGTTCCACATCTGCCCTTGGCCAGTGGAACGTCCCCTCCAGCAGTGGACGGTGTGGCCTCGAGTCCAGGCCCTGCCCCAGCAGGCCCCTCAGGCAGGAGCTGCACCTCCCTGGGCGTCGGCCTGCCCGCCTGGGCCTCGGGTGGACGTGAGGGCCAGGCGGAAGGCTGAGGCGCTGGGGGACCGGCGTGCAGCCACTTGCTGACTCGGGGCGCTCAGGGTAGGTCCCCTTAATGCTCACGTCCCACTTCACAGACGAGGAAACCGAGGCAGAGGGAGAACACGTGACCTCTCCAAGGAGCCCAGGAAGAAGTGGGAGGGCCAGGACTAGCCCGGCCCCCGGCCCCGGGCCCCAGGCTCGGCTCTGCCCCAGCCGTCACCCGCCCGCTGTCAGACTTCAGGTGGCTGTGGGTTTATTTTTGAGACAAGGCTCTCTCTGCTGCCCAGGCTGGCCTCAAACTCCTGGGCTCAGGCCATCCTCCTGCCTCAGCCTCCCCTGTAGCTGGGCCCACTCCAGAAGGAGGTTTTAAAATGGCTAAAACCAAAATAGATTCTAGATAGGCTCCCTTCCAGACACCCACCCCATCAGCTAGAAATGGCCAACGGCTGGAGGAAAACAGGGGACTTCAGTGACGGCCCCAGTGTGTTGAAACATGACATTAAACCCAGAAGTCTTTCATGAAAAGATGAATAATTGCCAGGTGCGGTGCACACGCTTGTAATCCCAGCTCCTCAGGAGGCTGAGGCAGGAGGATTGCAAGTTCAGGCCCAGCCTCAGCAATTTCACGAGAGTCTGTCTCAAAATACAGAATTTTGAAAAGGCCGGGGCGTGGCTCGGCGTGGACGCTCGCTTCGCACAGGAGAGGCCCGGGATCTAGCTCCCGGCACCTCCTCACGTGTCTAAGGGACCATGGCGCCTGCTCAGCCCCTTCACAGAGGAGGAGGCCGACAGGATTGAGGAGACTTTTCAGATGTGATAGATAAAAGACTGATTTCCTTAATATGTAAAAAGCTTCCTTCTAGAAATAATAGGAACCACAGGCCAGTAGCTACATGCATAAAGACGTGAACCGGGGTTTTTGAAAAAGAAACGAAACGCAGACGGCCTTTAAACACAGCGGAGGGACTCGCCTCGGTCAGATACAAACGAAGCCACCACGGAAGGCAGTTGTCCTCCCACCTTTTAGGTTAGTAAAGATGAAGACATTTGTTAATTCGCTGTGTCGCTGGGGCTTGGGGACAGCAGTCTCACTGCCATCCCCCTGCCTCACAGCCGCTGTGGAGCCCTTGTCCTGAGCTCGCGGAACCAGGGGACGCCGAGGCCCAGAGCGGGTAGCATGGCGTCCCTGGCCAGTCCCTGGCCCCTGGTCGCTCTCCGCAGAGGAGGTGGGCGGGCCGGCTCGGCCTGCAGAACCGGTCACCAGGCCCGGCCACCTCCCCTGCCAGGCTGACCTCGGGCCTCGCCCATCAGCTGCTGGCACCTGGGCGGGTCAGAGGGAGGCCCAGGGACGCGTGGCTGGGACAGACGGTAATTGTGACCTCGTCGTGACATCAGGAAAAGCAGGTCCTCTGCCTGGCGGCTGGGATGGCGGGATGGTGACCTCGACTTGCCGCGGAATGTCCTGGTTGGGTGGCAGACGCAGGCGGGCGGTGACAGGCTCCTGGGTGTGGGTGCCCGGCTCCGGGCCCTGGGGACGCGTCCCTCCCGCCGAGCCTTCTGCCATCCAGGCTGCGGCCACCGCGGCCCCCTGCCGTCAGGGATTGCAGTCCTCCTGCCTCAGCCTCCGCGGAGCCGGGCAGCGGCGGGCCCGGCCTTCGCCAGTGAGGAGCCGCCCCTCGGTGGGGTCAGGGCAGAGGGGGCCGTGAGGAGCCTCGGGGCCGTGAGGGCTCAGAGGGACGGAGGAAGTCCCTCAGCAAGCGGGACGCAGGGGGCCGGGCAGCGGGGACGGGGCTGCGCCCACCAACTCCGCAGGCAGGTGCGGGCGGGGCCGCTGGGTAGGTGCCCTCCACCACTGTCCCCAGCAGCGCCTCGCCCCACGACCCTGGACATGGAGCACGGTTCCCGTCAAGGGCCACCTGGGTGGTCTCCAGGAGGGGCAAGAGGAGGAGGCGTGAAGTTCGTTTTTCCCTCGCGTCTGCCATCCAGGGACTCGGGAGGCTGAGGCAGGAGGATGGCAAGTTGGAGGCCAGCCTGGGCAACCTCGGGAGGCCCTGTCTCAAAAGGAAAAGGGCTGGGCTGCGGCTCCGTGCAGAGCGCTGGCCTTCCCAGCCCCGGGCTCTGACCCAGCCACAAAAAGAAGAAAGGAAAAAAATGAGGCCCACGTCCCCGAAGCCACCCAGGAAGGTGGGCGCAGAGGCTGCAGCAGGCAGGAGTGAGTCCCCTGCCGGGCGGCACAGGAAGGAGTGGCGTGCTGGGCGGTGGCTTCCAGGACGGAGAGTCCTCTGGGTGCTGACTGACAGGCAGGGCGGCCCGCGGGGCTGGACTGGCCCTGAGCGGCCACCGGACCCAGGTTGAGGTGCTGGAGGGAGGAGCTCGCACACCCCGGGTCCCCCGGGGCCCTGTCCAGGGACACTCCATGGGGCTGGGGGGGCGGGTGCCCCTGTGGCTCCGGGGAAGATGCAGGAGACGGGGGAGGGGACGTTCTGCTAATGCCACCACCTGTCAACAGCCACAGGACCGTGGGGTTGTCCCTGACAGCCAGGGCCGTGGATGGCGGTCACCCCACCAGATGCACAGACACAGAGACCGCACAGGCACACAGGACACGCACACGCAGGACCCAGGGCCTTGGCCTGGGCACTCGGGAGACCCTGGGTCCCAGCGGGAGCCTCTCCAGCCTCCACTGTGTCCCAGGGCCTCCTCCAAGGGGTGGCCGGCCGGGAGGGGACAGGCAGGCCCGTAGCACAGCATGGCTCTTGGGCGCCACCCAGTGGGCAGGAGGGGATCTGGGGTCTTCCGGTCTCACCTGTCCCTCCAGTGTGTCTCCTGGGCCATCTCTTCTGTCCCCACCTCCGCCTGCTGCCCCTCTCCCCCCAGGCCCCCGCCCAGAGCGCGTGTCCCAGTCTGCACTTGGACTCGGTGGCTGCACACCCGACGCGCACCGCCCTCCCCTGGGCCCTGTCCCCTGATGCATCCCGTGTGGGACGCCATCTTGCTGACCGCTGGGGCTGCTGGCAGGACGGTCAGCCTCCTGGGCTTCGCTGCCCGCCAGCTCGCACGCTTGGCCCTCGGGGCAGGGACTCCGAGGGGCAGGCTGCACCCCGCCGAGCCCGGCCCTGAGCCGGCTCACCCCGCCACGGCCCCGTGGCCTGGGGAGGGCGGAGCGCAGAGCCCGGGGTCCTGGACCCCCAGGAGGCCGGCCTCCTCTCCAGGGCCCCAGACTTGCCGTGGCTCCCTACTGGCCTTCAGGCTGGTGACCCTTCCCTGAGGGGGCGGTCAGCTCCCCTTGGCCCTCAAGTCCCCTGTGCTCCGTGTGTGTCCCCCAGGTGTGGCACCCTTTCCTTCCTGGCGCCTGGCCACCCTGGGGAGCAGGACTCAGGTGCATGGGCCATGGCCACCTCCCTGGCACCGGCCGAGCCAGGGCGGGGTCCTGGGGCGTTTTCCCGGCCGGGCTCTGGAGCCTGGATCTGGGACCACGGTGCAGCTTCCCAGTCATAGGGCCTCGGGGACATTTTCTGAGCCACTTGTGACCTCCGCCCGCCCTGCTGGGTCTGCTCTGTGAGCCTCGGGCCTGGCTGCAGCCTTCAGAAGCCCGAGGCCTGTGTCTCTGTGGCTAGGCACACGGGGCGCCCCGCAGCGCCAGAGTCTGCTGGCAAGGTGTGTGACCCCAGGACCGCGCAGGCTCCCGACGCCATCCTTGGCTCCCTGCACTCGAGTGGCCAAACCGCGGCCTCCTCCTAAAAATTGCTAATGGGCCGCTGTGGGGGACGGTCCAGCGGGGACGAGTGGGAGCCTGACCCCTGGGGAGGGGTCTCTGGCAGGTGGCTGGGGCTGCTGTGGCCCGTGCAGAGCGCTGGCCAAGCGCGTGCCAGGCCCTGGGCTCAGGAAGCAGCCAGGTGGGCAGCACCAGTGGAGGCCACCGGGTGACATAGGTGCTGTGCACACGCGGGAGGTCGTGGGGCCTGGTTTCCCTGGGGTCTTCTGTGGCGGGGTGCAGGGGTCGGCCCGCTCTGCTGCCCACTCTGCTTCAGGACGAAGCTCGGGCAGTGGGGCCTGCACCCAGGCTGGGGGCCTGTCCTCACCGAGGTCCCCAGGGGGCCAGCGTGCAGAGCCTGGGGACCCAGGCCAGGTGGAGCATCGAGGCCCAGGGTGCTCTCTGGGCCCCTGGAGGACCCCATGCCCCCCCCGGCCTAGCTGTCCCCTGGAGTCCCCATATGAGGTGTTTTCTCTTGAGAGGCCCTCTAGTGACGCTGCCCTTGACACTATCTGGGGGACGGCGGCAAGCAGCCTAACAGGGCGCTCACCCTGAGCTCTGGGGGCTCCAAGGTGGTGAACACAGAATTTAGCGAGTGGCGAAGGTGACACGGCTCTGTAGCCGCGCAGCCGTCGGTGAGGGGCCACCTGGTCCTGCCACCCCCCAAACCAAACTCCAGAGCACCTGAGCCCTGTTCCTGTAGGGCTCCCCGGGACTGTCAACATTTATGGAGCACTTACTGTATGCCAGGCACGATTCTGAGCCTCTTCTGTGGCTACACCACTGCTCATAGATCACGGATGGCGCGCGATCCTTCTTCAGGTGGAGCCGCCGAGGCACAGCTGGTGGCCAACCGTGTGGGCAGACAGCAAGGTGGCATCGCGAGCACTCTGGCTCCCGCACGGGCCTTCCCAGGTGCTCCCCCCCCCCGCTCACTCCTGGGAGGCCGCCAATGCTTTCCTCCTTTTAAAAAAAGGATCTGGGGGGGCTGGGGATGTGGCTCAAGCGGTAGCACGCTTGCCTGGCATGCGTGCGGCCCGGGTTCGATCCTCAGCACCACATACAAACAAAGATGTTGTGTCCGCCGAAAACTAAACATCCATATCTCTCTCTCTCAAAAAAAAAAAAAAAAAAAAGAAAATAAAAGAAAAAGAAGGATTGGTCCTTCTGGCGCTGGGTGGGGAGGCATCCGTGGCCCCTGGTGCCAGGGAAGTGCCTGGGCTCCGTCCGCCCCACCCTTAGCTAAGTGTGTGTACCAGGGGGTGAGCTCAGGGCCCTGGACTGCTGAGCCACCCCAGCCCCATTTTGTATTTTATTTTGAGACAGAGTCCCACTGAGTTGCTTAGGGCCTCACTAAGCTGCTGAGGCTGCCTTTGAACTTGTGATCCTCCTGCCTCAGCCTCCTGAGCCGCTGGGATGACAGGTGTGGGCGCCCCACTGGCCAAAGGAAATCTTCTTTTAAGCTGTAAGCACATCCTCATGGTGTGCCGCCACCCACGCCCGTCCCCAGAACTGTCGCTTGTCTGCAGAGGGAACTCTTCTGTCCTACTCCGCGGCAGCTCCTGTCCCCAACGCTCACCATCCCACTTTCTGTCAATCTGACTCAGGGTCTCCCCAGGGCGCAATCAGGCATCTAGTTTTGGTGTCTGTGTTCTGTGGTGCTGGGGACGGAGCCCAGGACTCGGGACATGGTGGCGGGGCTGCTCCTCCAGGCGCCGGTGGCGGGGCAGGTGTGCCCGCGGTGAGACGTCTCACAGCAGCGAGGGGTGGCAATGACCCAAGGGCCCTTCGGCGGCCCCTTCCTGCAGCAGAGACCCTGTTGCCCTGCGTTCTCCTGGAATGAAACCAGGACGGACAGTGTCATCCTGTCAGAGGCCAGAACCACGGGCGGGCTTCCTGCCTTTGGGGAGAGGGACGTGGGTCTGTTCTTGGCGCTTGTCAGCTGAGGCCTCTCCCTCGAGGACACTGTGGAAAGTGGACCTGGTGAGCAGAGGTGGATAGAGCCAGCTTGTCCAGCCCGCGCACTGCCCACTCCTGCGTTCCCCCCAAGAATACTGCGCCCCTGGAGACGTGAACATTGGCCGTCTGGCACTGCTGGGCTCGGTGGTCACGATGGGGAACCAGCAGCTCGGGAGGCTGAGGCAGGAGGATCCCGGTCAGCTTCGGGAGACCAGGCCAGGGGTGCAGCTCAGGGTGCCGTGCCAGGCCCTGGGCTCCGTCTCCAGCACAACAAATAGACAAACAGCACCCGGCAGAAGCCACAGGCCAGAGTGCCCCGGCCACGGCCCGCCCGCACTCCCAGGCCTGTGCAGAGGGCCGAGACCAGACAGACACGGCAGGAGGCTGTCCCTGGCAGTGTGAAGTCTTTGGTTCTAAACAGCACGTCCCTCAACCCACCCAGAAGACCCCTGGGCATGACTACTGTGACGGGCACAGTGGGGCTCCAGTGGCCCCTCCACGTCCCACTCACACCCCACCCCGGGACCCGGACATGGCCACCCGAGGAGACGGGGCTGCTGCAGTGGATCTTCAGAGGCGGCGGGGGCAGGTGGAGCAGGGTGGCCGGGACCCAGTCGCGGCGTCCTCTGGGAGGGGAGCAGCTGTGTGGGTGGGTATCGGTCAGGGTGGGGGGCAGTACAGACTCCCTCGGGGCCTCGCGTCCTGGATCCCGTTGGCACCCTGCAGGGCTGCGTCTGTGAAGTCCCAGGCCACCGGCAGGCAGCACAGGTCCCTTTCTGCCACACAGGGGCGTGTTCGGGCCTGGCTCAGCCCTGCGGCCCCAGGAGGCCTGCCTCCAGCTCCCAGCCAGGGACGGCCAGAGGGGCCATGGGGAGCCCGAGGGTGGCCCCAGGATGCCACCCACATCCACCCCGGCAGCTGCCGAGACCTAAAGCGCTCACCGTGCCCCAGGCTGCCTGCTCTCAGGGCAGGGACTCTGCACAGGAGGCCACCTGTCAGGCTCTCTGCACAATGACCCCAGAGGCCACCGCCGTGGGGCAGTGCTGGGGCTGAACCGGGGGCTGCCCGAGCTGCGTCCCAGCCTTTCCGTCTCGTCGCTGGGATCGCAGGCCCGCGCCCCCTGCCCAGCACAGGTCCCATCAGCCTGCACACGCAGGAAGCAGGGGGAGGTGGGGTCCATTCCTCTCGCCCAGCCTCAGGCAGCCTGCCACAGGCCCCCTGGCCCCCGACCTGGCAGAGGAAGAGACAGGCACAGTGGCGAGGCCTGGATGGGTGGCCCATGGAGCATCCCCAGTCCATGACAAATGACTCCGACCACAGCACTGCCACCTTCAAGGTCTGTGGCCTGGCTGGTGCCGGACTCCAGGCCCGTTTCTGCTTGGGCCGAGTGGGGACCCAGCCAGCCCCTCCCTGGGCAGCACTGAGACTCAGGAAGGTGGTGGCGGAGATGGTCACCGGCTAGTGAAGGGCCAGCAGCGTCCCAGCTGGGTGGACACAGCAAGGCACACGGTGCAAGAGTGTGAACCACAATGTTTATTTGGAAATGGAATGCTCACGACAGGAACCTGGTCTACAAATGGCTGCGGGGCCAGAGCACATTTATTAAAAAAACAAAACAAAACAAAACAAAAAAACGAACAAGAGTCCCCGCAGTGTGGCCTACGCCACGGCGGCAGGTCGGCTTCCATCTCGAAGGTTCCAGTTCACGGGGCCTCCGCCTTCCTGCAGAGCCGCGGTGCGGGGGCTTCAGTAGCGTCGGGTGAAGTGGGGGTACGGGTGGGGGTGTGGGTGAGGGTGGGGGTGTGGGACTCTGCTGCCCCGGTCCTGGTTGGCCACTCCGCCACCATCCAGTCCACCGCCAGGCACCACGTGACCTTGGGAATGTCCAGCATGTGTGAAGCCGCCTCGCCTAGAACAAAGCCAGAGGTCCCTGAAGCCCTGCTCCCTGCAGCCCGGCCGGCGGTGAGACAAACTGTCACCCATGTGCATTCTAGGTGACTGAGGGACATTTGCACTAACTGCAAAGAGTTGCTTTTTGGTTTGTTTTCAAAGCATCCAACCCAGTGAAGTTGACCAAACATGCACAGAAGGGGAGCAAGCTGCTTCTTACCCAGCCACGCCGCCTCGGCCCGCCGCGTGCCCCCCGGGCCCCGAAGCTCCAGACAGGCCCCTCTCAGCACCTGCAGGAGAGGACAGGCTGAGGACACCGGCACGTGGCCTCCGGCCCTGGGCCCCGCCGCGCCTCTCCTCCGGAGTACCTTGCCACCGCGTGTTCTCCCGGCCCACGGCGCTGGCGTCCACGGCACCCTGCCAGGCCCGGACCTGATGCTCCTCCAGCCGCGGGTTGTGCTCGGCCCAGTCTCGTCCCCCCCTTTGCCAAGACAGAAGAGAGACACAGCTGTCCCGACACGTCTCCGGGCGCATGAGAGGAGGCAAGTCCTGCGCCCCAGAGAGATGTCCCTGAAGAGGACACAGCGGAAAGCCCGGGGAAGGTGCTCAGCAGGGAGCCACCAGGGACCTGCAGCTCAGCCATGAGAAGGCATGTCCAGAAGGGGAAGTTGACACGGTGCAGCCCTGTCGGACAAACCTGGGGCCCCTCAAAAAGCTCCAATCCCCTGAACATTCCAAGGAAATCGACACAGACACTTAAAACAGGTCAGAAACCATACTCCAGAGTGTGTGCCACTAGCTAACCAGCGTCATTATAATGTCATCATGTTCTTTTTTTTTTTTTGTACCAGGGATTGAACTCAGGGACACTCGACCACTGAGCCACATGCCCAGCCCCGTTTTGGATTTTACGTAAAGTCAGGGTCTCACTGAGCTGCTCAGCACCTCACTGTTGCTGAGGCTGGCTTTGAACTCGTGATCCTCCTGCCTCAGCGTCTCCAGCCTCTGGGATGACAGGCGTGGCCACTGTGCCCAGATGACCATGTCCTTAATTACTGTTATCACACAACCATAAATTCATGCTACATACCACATTTAGGTTTTTATAAGTGTCTCACGTCTGGAATGAGGGAACAAAATGGGCTTTACACAGATCTGTCCGTGAGCAGCAACGCCAGGCTCCGGCAGCCCCCGAGGGGGAAGGCAGCGTTCCAACAGAAACACCTGCACCCACGCAGCAGCGTGAGCCCCGGAGCCAAAAGGTGGGAAATGACCCAAAGATCACGGTTCGCCAAGGAGGGCGAGGAGGGCGCAAGCCAGGCGCAGGGTGCCCTCACAGCAGGACACTGAGCCAGAGCAGGAGCCATCAGTGAGGTGGAGAGCCACACGAGCTGCTCGCCCACTCCCAGTACCCCAAAAGCACTGAGCAGCGCAGTGCTGGTGGGTGACCGCACAGCGTGGGAACTGGACTTCAATAAAGCTGTTTCAAGACAGCTTTAGGCAGAGACTGCGGGATCAACAGCCAGTACCATGCCAATGTCCCAGCAACAGGGGTCACCAGGGGCTCCCAGGGCTTCCCAGCCTTGGGCCGAGTGTGAGTACCCAGCTACTGCTGTGGGACGGTGGCCCTGGGCCAGCCGGGCTCAGGGGACCCAGGGAGTGAGGTCTCCACATGGCCCACCAGCCACTGCCCACTGCGGTCTGGGCTGAGGACAGCTTTCCCACTTAAATGTCCCACAGGCGATGAAGTGACGCCGAGGCATCAAGCTCTAAGTAGGTCGCTGGGAAGAGAACATGTCCCACTAGTTCATCAGACTGTGGCTGCAATCTGCCACCTGCAGCGGGGTGGGAACTGCTGGTGTCCCTGAACACCAGGAACAGCTCAGCTCCAAGGAGAAGCAGAGAGTCCCCGGCAAAAGTGCATGGAGGGACAGGTGGCACAGGAGGAGCCCAGGCCACCCTGCCCCGTGCAGCAGGGCCCCACCTCACACAGGCCACAGAGACGGGAACAGCAGCCTGGGGACAGTGCCAGTCCGGGGCAGAGGTGGGCTGGCTGGGAACTGCGGGGCCACTGTCGACACCAAGCACCCCCGCTGGGGAGGGAGGCCCAACCTCACAGACCCTGAGCCACGGGGCCTGCCACTCACCTGGGTCCAGGGGGGAGGCCCCGGCCTTCGCTCATCCTCTTGTCAGAGCTGTAGCCCCCCCAGCCATCGCGGGAGTCCCGGCCATGGCGCTCTGGGGGTCCTCCATGGCTGTGGCGGTCGTCTGAATAGTGCTAGAGGCAAAGGGGGACAGGTGACGCTCTGCCGTGGCCACCCCCATCCGGGAGGGCCTGTCCACCTGTGGGCCCCAGGGGAGCAGTGGGCAGCCAGGAGCAGGCTGGGGGCCGGGGTGTCGAGCTTCCCGAGGCTCTGCACCAGGGGACCCTTCGCCCCCAGAGTCCCCTCGTCATCCCCTCACAGCTCTGTCACCAACCCACCTGAGCCGGCGCTGCAGTTCGTGGGCAGAGGCCCACTCCCCGGGCGTCCCCAGGACCACAGCGCCTGACTGGCCTGGCTGAAGGGCCACTTATGACATCAGCCCTGATGGGCCCTTCCTCCTCTCTAAGGACAGCCCCTCTGGTGTGTGGCTCTCAAGGGGCCCCTCGCTGCCTGCCACCCGAGGCCGGTGCTGTACACGCAGACCACTCAGTGCCCCTGGTGAGCAATCCAGCACCCAGGACGCGAGAGGCCGAGACCCTGGAGAAGCCAGCATGATGTCTTCTCAGAAAACACATGTGCTTTAGACGCCCACCCCATCCCTCAGTCGCGCTCCTCTCCTCTGAGCACCCACAGGGCCTGCACGGTGCCAGAGACTTAGGGCCACCTACGTGGTCTTCACCCCAGTGTCAAGCGCTATAGCTGAACCAGAGGGCCCCCAAATGTGGTTAAGTGATGCCCCAGCCAGCTGTAGGCCGCCACCTGGGGTGTCCTAGGGCACCCACTGTGTCGGACACAAAGTTCCTATGCTGCTGAGGCTGGCCTCACACCTGGCCTCCTGAGGCACTGGGATGACAGGAAGGCCACTGTGCGTGACTCAAGCCCTGCAGCTGGAGCCCATAGAGACCACTCGGGAGAAGATCACCAAGCACGCGCTCTGCTAAGTGCTCCTAGAACCGCTGTTCCCATGAACCCCTGCCTGGTACAAGTCACCAGCCACAGGCTGGAGCACAGGCAGGCTGGAGCACAGGCAGGCAGGACCCTGGCGCGGGCTGGCCCCACTCACCTGACCGTCTCGCTCTCCCATCATGGGCCTGGACCCCTCCCTCCTGCAAAAGGAACAGATCTCATTCAGTCGGCAGTTGGTGGGATGGACACTCCACTGGTCACCCTAGAGTCCTCCAACTAAGGCATGGGTGCCACCTCCCCACACGAGCACTGTCATTCCCTGGCCTGCTCAGCGTGAATGCGCTTCTCTAGAGGTGAAGTCGGGTCCCAGGACGGTCGGAATAAAGATGTGACTGAATGCAAACCCTGAGAAGGAGCCTCAAAAGCAGACTCGCTGGAAGGCCTCACTGACCGGTGGCCTGACAGCCTCAGGCAGTCCCCAGCGTCTCCCGTGACTCACGCCATCCACCTGTGAATCAGGCCCCTGGCTCCCCCCACTGTTCCCAGCCCCCTGTTCTGACCCCTTCCATTTCCCAAGAGCTCCTGAGCAGTGATGTGGCTCTGCCCGCGCAGCCCAAGGGCAGAGAGACGTCACGTGGGGCCCACACGGAGAACCCAGGTCACCTTTCCCTGCAGTGCTGGAAATTTTAGTAAGTACACACACTCAGCTGGGCACAGTGGCACACACCGGTCATCACAGTGGCTTGGGAGGCTGAGGTGGAGGATCGCGAGTTCAAAGCCAGCCTCAGCAAAAGTGAGGTGCTAAGCAATTCAGTGAGACCCTGTCTCTAAATAAAATACAAAACAGGGCTGGGGATGGGGCTCAGTGGTCGAGGGCCCCCGAGTTTGATTCCTGGAACCAAATAATACAAAAACAAAAAACCCTACACATACTGTCCTCCTCCTCCTAACAGGGATTAGCAGAAAAATGAAAACCAAAACCGTGGCGGGGGAGACACTGGTAAAATCCCCACCCACACCACCAAGGGAGTAGGCCTGAGGCGTGCTGCGCGCTCAGGCGACGCTCTGCAGCCCACTGGCGTGGCAACCTCTGCTGGTCAGCCAGCCCCAAAGTCCCTTCTTCCCCCATTTACTCCCTGTGATGACCAGAAGGATGGGCCCTGTGCTCTGTGGCAGAGTGGCGACTGAAGAGACCCCAGGGAGCTGTCACCTCAGAACCTGGCCATGCTGACAATCCCACCCTGACAGCTTGGTGTGAGGCCCAGGACGCTGCCTGGGGCCAGACGTGACCGCTCTGTACAGAGAGGACAGTGGATGCCTTCCTGCTTGGCAAACTGAGGAAGCACAAGTGACCACGACTCCAGCGACCTGCTGGAGCTGTGGGTGAGGGACCAGGAGGCCACCAAGACACTAGAGAGCAAGACTCTGAGAGCAGGGGCGAGGACCCGGCCCGACACAGGGTGGGGACACAGCTGACACCTGCCGCGGGCACGGCTACCGATGGCTGACCTGTCAGCAGCGTGGTCCTGGTACTGGCCTCGGTCTCGGTGGTCAAAGTCATGGAAGCGATGATCCGGCCGGGGGAAGTCAGCGCGGTACCTGTCCTCCAAGGCCACGCGTTTTCCTTCTGGCCAATAGGCATCGTCTCTCCTGGTTTAATAAAAAGGACACAAGTTTCACTAATGGAAGAGCATGAGGAAAAGGAGGAGGCCCAGGCAGGAGGAGCTGCCCCTCCAGACCCGGCACCTAGGCCGCCTGCAGGCTCATCTCTAAACAGCCCATCGTCACCGCTTTGATGTGATAAATCAAAAGCCCCAAACTGCCAGGAGGCGAGCTGCTAACCACCGGGGGAGGGACTGCAGGGCGCTAACTGTGTCACAGGCTGTTAGGGCCTTGATCCCCGCGGGAGCTCAGACGCAAGTACAATGAAACACGTGGCCTTCCCGAACCGTGTTCTGGCTGCTGCGCTCCTACCCTCCGTCTTCTAGGGAGACCAACCTCCCTCTGGGTCTTTTGGAAGCACAGGAGTCGGATCGGGTGACAGTGGGCTACATGCAGCGCAGGAAGCATCCCATCACCTTCTTCCTGGCTCTTACCAGAGAAGTCGGCTCCTGGGGAGCAGGGTGGTGGGTGGCCCTCAATTAAGTGGCTCCGAGAAGCTGGGGACCAATAACCCTACTTTCTGGACGGGAAGGCGCTTTCCTCTTCTGTGGCGCCTTCTCTGCCTGTTGGCAGACGGCCCTGGCCACCCTGGCCACCCTGGCCTGGCAGCCGTGCTCCCTCAGAGGCCCACCACAGAAGCCCCGGAGGGCAGCACCTGAGGGGCTCTGTGAAGCTAGACGGGGAAGAGCAGGCTGCAGCGCCGGGGGTGGCGACCGGTGGCAGGGGACGCTGGGGTGCGGGCCTGGCTCACCGGCCGTCCGGCTCATAGGGCCTGCGCAGGGCCGGGCGCCGCTCCTGCTCGTAGCGCAGCTGCTCCTGCTGGCGCCGCAGCTCCTCGCGCTCGCGGTGGATGCGCTCCTGCTCCTTCCTGCGCTCGCGCTCCACGCGCATGCGCTCGCGTTCCAGCCGCTCCCGCTCCAGGCGCTCGCGCTCCAGCCGCTGCCGCTGGCACTCCAGGTGCAGGCGCTCCCGCTGCAGCCGCGCCTTCTCCTTGCGCTCGTGGAAGGCCTCCAGCCGCTGCTCCCGCTCCCGCTGCTCGCGCTCCCTGCGGACAGGGACAGCAAGTCGGCCTCAGCCTCAAGTAGGAAGCACCCAGCTGGCCCTCGCCCAGAGAGGGCCGTGGCCCAGGCCAGCAAGACTGGGCCCAAATGCAGAGAGGAAGCCAGCAGCACTACAGGAGCACACCGCCACAGGCAGCGAGGCCTCCGGGCGGGACAGCTGCTGGGCTCGTGGGCACCCGGAGCAGAGCTGCGCCTTGAGGCCAAAGTCCAGGATCCTCGGGGAGCAGCGCCCATTCCCTGACCCCAGCAGCTCGGGAGGCTGAGGCAGGAGGACCTCAAGTTCTAAGCAGCCCCTGCAAGCTGCGAGGTGCCAAGCAACTCAGGGAGACCCTGTCTCCAAGTACAGCATAAAAAGGACTGGGGTGCGGCTCAGGGGTCGAGCCCCCCTGGGTCCAGCCCCTAGTGCCAAAAAACAAATTCCCAAGTACCCCAACTCTACAACTTCCTGAGCACCAACATGAAAAGTAGAAGACTGCACCACAAGCTCATGTGAGGGGTCAGTCAAAAAGCTCCCAAAGTGGCATATAAGAGTACCCTCAGGCCACGGGTTTAGACTTGGGCCGCACCCCAAGGCATCTCAGTAAGCTGATGCGAATACGTCAAAACCTGAAAAACCCCAAACACATGTGGTCCCAAGCATTTGCAACAGCCTCCCGAGGGGAGAAAGGCCGATTCCTGTCTCAGGGCAACACTCCAAGGCCAGCAGCTGACCTGCAGCCTCAGTCCCTCGAGTCCAGCTCATTCAGGACGACCAGTCTGGACGGGGACGGGAGAAACACAGGCTCAGCGCGGGGTGGGAGTGGGGGCCCGTGGCAGACCCCATGGCCAGGCTGCTGCAGGTCAGAGGGGCAGTGCTCCTCACAATGACAAGGCCTGGGAAGGATGGGCACCAAGAGGGCACTGCTGAGGCAGGCATTTCAAGAAGCTATTACGGGGGGCACCCTCTCTGGCCAAGCTGAAACCAAGCCAAGGAAAGGCGACCACGGACTTCCGGCTGTAGGCTTTGGTCTGATTTACAAAGAGGGTCCCGGCAGGAAGGAGCAAGCCCCCCCCACTGAGAGATCCAAGCTACCGAGGGTGAGCTGTCCTACAAGGGCCAAGGTCCAGCTGCACCAGGGAAATACTGGGCAAAACTGGGCTTCAAGGACTTTCATGCCACTTGTCACTGTGAACTGGTGCTCGGCCTTGCCTCCTGGATCTGGGCAAAACCCAGGAACAGCCAGACGACTCGCTCTACGGGGGCAGTGGGGAGAAAGGACGACCACCCCAGAGAAGCCACCCACCCAGCGCCGCGCCCGCGCCCTTACCGCCGCCTCTCCGTCTCCCGGATCTCGCGCTCCCGCTGTCTCTGGCGCTCTCGCTCCCTCTGCTCTTTGATTTTATCGAAGGACAAGATGTCTCTCTTCTCTTTGCTTTCCGACTTGCGGTCCTGACTCTTGGAGCTCTGTTTACCAAAAGGAACGTATCAAATTTAGTCAGAAAAGTGAGCCCAGGCCAGAGGGGCTAGAGAACTCTAACGTCTCAAAAATCTAGGTCGTGAACGTTTTTGCCACCAGGAGATGGGAAGCGCTGGAGGAGACAGGCTCAGCCTGACGTGAGCACGGCACGATGGAGATCACGCACCAAGACACCACACGACACCCCAAAGGCACGGACAAGTCCTCGTGTCCCAGCTAAAACACTGAATTTAACAAACTCTTAAAAAGCACACACAACGGGAGTGGGAGATACATATCTGGGTTAGACTAAGATTCTTTCGTCCCACGTGGTTTACTTGGAAAGCCGTGGTCTCCGAACCGGAGGCCCGGGCATAGGCTGCTCCACTCCAAGTCTGAGTTTTGCCGCTTAAGCCAGAAGCTTGCTTTCAATTGTTGAAGGGCATTAACGGAAGAGAAACCTCAGAAAACCCGCAGGGAGCTTTCCTGGCGGAGCAGAGCCCAGCACTCACCCCCCAGAGCAAAACCAGGCCTCCCAGGGACACAGGCCAGGCCAGCTGAGGCCAAGCGTGGCCACGGGCCTCAGTGGGTTCAATGAAACCAGCTGCTGTCATAGCCGGGTGACTGACCGCCCACTTCCCTCTCCTCCCAGCCCAGCCAGCTGTACAGGAGGACAGGCTGCGGGAGGCCGCGTGGAACAACGCCCCTGGGGAAGCACAAGGTGCCAATGGCCAACGCCTAGGACGCCATGTTCCTGGGATGAAATGAAATTTTGATGCTTGACCTCCATTTCTGAGACCTTCGAGGCCTCTCCCATCCTGGCCACTTGTCACTGTCCCTGGAGGCTCTGGAGCGACACAGAACCTGGGGCTTCCTGCTGACAGACTCACATCTCCAGGGCGGGGGCCTGGGCGACTGTATTTTAAAAATGTCCCTGAATGATTTCACGAGCTCATGTGGGGAGGGAGAAAGACAATAAAGACGGGCAAAGGTGAAAGCCAGTCATTGCATCAGTCAGGAAAGAAGGGTGGAAGAGGTTGGGGAAAGACACTGAGGACAGCCTCGTTACAAGGACAGACCCAGACACTGGGCCTGAGATGAGCCCACAGCTCGCATGGCCACGCCGCAGGGAGGTGCCTGCAGAGGGCTGGGGGGTCACAGGCACTTGGTGCATGATCCACTCCCAGCCAATCATCTCCATTCTGAGCAGCACTTTATTTCAAAATAAATGTGCTTTTAAAAGAAAAACGACCACATGCCTTAGCTTTTGAAGATTTTCAAGTGACATTACGTGCACAACTAAGACAACAGCCGCCATTCCCTGCAGGGGCTGACCGGGTCCTGTGGCGCCTGCATGCTACCGATGTGCTACGTGTGTGAGGCGGGTGGGCTTGCGCCCACCCAGTGGCTTCCACTGGCCCGCTGCATCTCCCTGCGCCAGCTGGACACTCCCATCACATGTGCTGTCTCCATGGAGTGTTTTCGCACTGGCTCATCTGGGTGGTAAGGACTATGGGTCTTTTTTCCCTTCAGACGTCTCTGCAGTTTACAATTTTCCTGGAGCCCACGTGACAAACAATCTTAGGAACCACGAGCACTGAGGCTTACTAGGATTGGAACGTTCCCTTCACTTCCTTTGCGCAGTGCAGGGCACCTGGCCCACGAGAGGCACGGGCTCCACCAGGGAGCCACGCCCCAGCCCTCGTGTCATTTTCAAATGCAGTCTCGCCACCCTCTGCCCCCACGTTCTCAGTGGACCCTGGACTCGGCGCTCACTGCCGGAGCCCTGCACCCCGGCCCCCCATAGCGGAGCAGCAGGCCCTGCAGTGAGGTTTTCTCAACTGGACAAAACCTAGAGGGAGCCCCTGCCTCGCCCGCTCCTTGGCCGACACCCCGAGGTGCTCAGCTGGAGGCCGGGCTCCGCTTTTCTTCTGGTCAATTTAACTCGAGGCTAGAAACCGACTCAGGATCATTGATAACTGCTGCTCAGAAATCCGGGGTTGGCCTGCCTTCCGACGCCAGCCGGGCCCCTACCCTCCCACCCAGGAGAGGCCCCGACACAAGCCACCGGCGTTCAGCATTCTCAGGAAAGCAAATACGGGGAAGCGACGTTTTAGGATGTGACAACGGATCTTGCATGTACCCAATATCAGCAGTGGATGGACCCGGCTCCTGAGTGCATCTGCGGTTTTGAAAGTTGAAAGGGAAGCAATGCTGCTTCGCCAGTGTGAGGCCCAGTGATCAGCAGCCCGTGCCAACCCAGAAACAGAGGCCGCACTCACCCTCTCCTTGGACCTGCTTGTGGTCTTCACGCTGATGACGGGCTCTCCTTTGGACTTATCCATCACGACTGTCCGTTCCATTCCTCGGCTTCCTTCAGGAAAAAAACAGCAACCCGTCAGAACACGCCACCGGCTCGGCTTCACAGGGTCTCACCCAAGCGACAGTCCTGCTGCAGAATTCCGTCACCCCTTGCCAAGCCCTCAGAGCCACATCTTCACCCTCCTACACACCCCACAGCTCTGTGGAGCCCGGGCCCTGTGCTCTGTCTGCACCAGCCACTGCTGTCCCCAGGGGGAGTGCCCCGCCAGGTGGGCGGGCTCCCTCACTCCTCCGAGGCAGGAAGGCTTCCGGTGCAAGGTCCTGCAGTGAGACGGACCCTCTGACTGCAGAAGCGATGCCTTACTGGAGGAGACTCACACACTGGGGGAACGTTCAAAAGACACGTTCCGTGAGGTGAGGCTGCTGGTCACGACCCCGACTCTGGAGCGCTAAGCCCAGTGCTCCACGTTACGCCAGGGCTCCAGCGGCTTGGGCTGTTTCTGATTCTTGTTAGGGGTTTACTTTTTGTCACAAAACAAGCTCAGAGTATCACACAAATCAGTGGTGTAGGGTGTGATAACCTTCATAAAATGACAACAGAAACAGCACCTTCAAGGACAACTACCTCAATGCATGCAGATGTCCTGAGGTTTTAGTTATTCTCTACTTGGGGGACACGTCACCCAGGTTAGCCAGACTCCTGCTGCCTCAGCCTCTGAGTACCTGGGACTAAGGCGCACACCCGCGCCCCCGGCCGCCCTTCTCCGACTTTCGCTCTGCCTGGCTTTGGCTAACGCAGGGGAGACTGCGTCGCACACTTGCAGCCAGTTGCAGGGAGCCAGGAGAGCTCCCTCCTGTGAGCCCCCGCCACGTTCTGCCCGAGACTCAGGGCAGCCGTCTCCTCACTCCCACCTGTGCTCAGCCTCAGGTCCCTGGACTTGGTCGTGGTTCAGACACCAGAACTGCCTTCCCGAGGCTGCTCTTAGCAGCTCCTGTTAAGAGCAAAACTCGGCCACAGGGACTCGGGACTTCTCTGCCCCCTCCACCCAGGTCCTGCTCAGGCGGCCCCCCTCACGAACACTGAAAAGACGCCCATCACCTGACTTGGTGACTCTAGACCGATTTGTCGGTGCTGGTTTCAGCTCATCTTGGTCTTTTTCTTCCTTTTTAATGTCTTCAGGCTTCTTTTCCTCCTTTTTCTCAACCTTCTCTTCCTTCTTGATTACGGTTCTATTTAAAAACACGGTTATCAACCTTGAGCACCCAGGACTCCAACAGGAGCAGCCCCCCACCCCAGCTTCATCCCCGAGAGCTCGCGCACAGCGGGGAAAGGACTGGAAAACCAGTGCTACCGCTCTTCGGACCCAGCCCCGGGTCCCACGTCCATTACCCGCTGCCTCTAGAGTCGCAAAACAAAAACGGAGACTGTGCTGGTGTCGACGGACGTGCAAGTGCACCTGCGGAACTCTCCAGCTTCCTGAGAACCCTTCGCCCCGACACGAGGCTTTCTTTGCACGTGACGGGACACACGAGGACCCACTGCCTAGGGCCAGAGCCGCTCCCCCACACCAAGACCCAGACGTGTACTTCTGGAGAGTTAAAATGGCACAGCAGGTGTCAATCAATGTGACTGCGCCACATCAGAAGCACCTCGTGCTGTGAAGGAGCCACCTAGCCACCAACCGGTCTCTAGGTTCTCCAGCAGGGGGAGATCTAGCTTGGGGGTTGAAAAGCCCAATACCCAGTGCCAACCACAGGCGGGTCCAGGCAGGAAAGCCAACGGACCCCGCTCCTGCGCCACTGTCTCCTAACTCCTGGAGCACAGAGCGACCTTCTTATAATATTCATTTTGAATCACACTGACACGATGAAAACTGGTGTGTACCAGGACTACTGTAAACGGCCTGCTGACACACTGCTCCTGTTTGGAAAGAATCTCACACAGATTCAGCTGAAGTGACGTGAACTGCTTCATCGTCTCCCTGCCTCCATCCGACTCTACCGTCACCCACCTCGTGTGGGTGTGGGCACAGACGTCCATTAGGTTCTGGGGCCTGGCATAAAGGAGGCTGTGTCCAGCAACCTGGCCCCGGCCTGCTCTGAGGACGGCCTGTGGATGCACAGATCTGTCCAACTGCTGTCAGCACTCCACAGCGGTTTCCTGGGGCCTTCTGACGGACAGAGGTCACTCTACACAATTGCCTGGAAGCCACGGGGAATCCCGAGGGGCCTCCTCTGCTCCCACATTCTTTGCACCTCCAGGGTACTGCCTAGACACCAAGAGACAGGCCGGCCACACCAAGCCAGTCAAGGGACATGCAGCGAACCCGGGTGGAAGGACCCCTCTGAGGTACCCAGGCTCTCAAAACCAACCACACAACACCACGTCCAAGACTGGATGCGTCTTTGCAGAGCCTATTTCCCTGGGTCGACTACTCAACCTCCAGAATCTTAAAGACAAAATGCAAGGTCAACAATGAATCCCTGCTGGCTGTGTGACCCCCTCTCCCAGCCTGCTTCCTCTTCTCTCCAGGGCACCTGCCTCACACAGCTCCTGCACTCCAGCCCAGCACGGGGCCCAAACCTGCGAGCCAGCAGTTTTCACCTTCCTTTCCCCACCAACACGACACCGTGGGACGCAGGTCATGAATGACATGAGCCCGGACACCAAGAACTCTCAACAGTCCCGTCCCACCTCAACCCGTCTCAAGCATTCGATGGAGAACAGGGACACGGTACCTCCACGCATCCTGCCGCTTGAAAAGTGAGATGGGTGGATCTGTAGTAGAGAGCTCCTCGTGAAAAGCAGAGTGGACCTGGCCACAGAAGCAAGTCACCACAAGACAGATGGACACACACTGGGCTTTGGGACGGTGCCACTACCAGACGAGTCACCAAGGCTAACCGACTCCAAAGACAAGCCCTGACCCTGATAGCATAGGAACGGGCCGTGCTTGCTTTCAAAGATTGGGGTCTATTTCCATCTTTATTAAAAATATAAATCACTTCTTTTTATGAAAAGTGCCACAGACCCTTGGCTTCTCCACTGCTGTGCCAAGGTGCTCCAGGGTACCACAGTGCGCTCACAGCACGCTCTGGTATATTTTTGATTCTGACATGAACAGCAATCCCTGGCTTCTGCCAGGCCCAGCACAAACTTCCAGCTCAAGGCCGCTCCCTGCAACGCAGGAGCACGCTGAATTCCTTTGGATGGTGTTTTATCTTGGAAAAACTGGGTTTTAGATAGTTTCCCTGCTTAAAAAAAAAAAGGCTGCATGGAAAATCTACGTTGATGAAAAATGCCTCTAAGCCTGGAGAACCTTAGGAAGGAACAGAGACCAGAGCGCTTCAGTCTATGTGCAAGACTGCTTTCAAAGTCCACAGAGTCGTCGGCACACAGGTGAGGACCACCTGACCCGCGTCTGTAGGCAGCCGGCTCAGGGAGTGCAGCAAGGGCGAGTGCGGGCTGCACTGGGGGCACAAAGGAGACGCTGCTCGCCTCGTGAGGCCCACCCAGGGCCACCCGGCCTCCTCCCAGGAATCCCAAGGGAAAGATGTGTAAAATCACTTCACTTTTCCATCTTGATCTCCACAGAATGGTGCCTGTCGACGCCGGGAGGCTTCTCCTTCTTCACCTCACACTCTCTCCGCTCTGACGGCTTCTTCCCGGCAGGCTCGTTTTTGGCCTAAAACAGAACATGGGCAGAAATGACCCCTAGCAGGTCTCGGCGCCTGTGAGCCTCAGTCAACGCTGAAAAGAAGCCTCACCCTCTCCACGGAGATCATTCTCCCATGCAGTTCGGTTCTGTGCAGATGGCTGATACACTTGGTCGCCTCGTCGGACGTCGACATGGTGACAAATCCATAGCATCGAGCCCCAGGACTGCGGGCATTGGTCACCACTTTGGCCCCCACAACCTTTAAGACAAAGAGCACTCTTGCTCTCAGATCACTGTGCAACTCGCGACATTACCAGCACTTAATAGACAACCAGATCATGGCCCACAAATTATGAGTTCTGCAAAACCGTTACTGGTTCTAATGAATCCTGGTCGACCAAAATACGGCTGTTTTAACAGGAATCAGCTCTCTGAAAGACACAGGCATGCAACACCGTCCACCTTTAGCACTCACTACCTGGTAAGTAATCAGAAACGGGGTCGTTTCATCCACTGCCAAGGAAGGCTGGGGGCAGTGCTGGGCCAGCATGGCTTCACTGCTTGCAGCAAAGTGCTGTGCTGCTGTCTGAAAGGACTGAACACTGGCGGGAAGGTGGACACATTAGTTTTCAGACCCTGGACCCCAGGCTGCCCAGGACAGTGATCCTGAGGATTGTCCTACTATTGCCCTGGTTACTGCCGAGTCTCCAGGTCACAGACAGGGAGGAGAAACTAAGGCAGATGTCAAATGAGTTGAGACCGACCTGAGATGCTGAGATCAAGGCAGAGAGAAATCATTACACAGAGATTACTGGACGGCAGGAGAGCGCAGCACATGAGACCTCCAGAGACCTGCAGAGGCCTTCTTCTGACCAGGGCACACGTGTGAGGACACCAAAGGCTGCGAGAAAACCAGCCACGAGGAGCAGAGGGAATAATTTGTGGGTCACTCAGATCCAAAATGGTTCAGCTCTGCCCAGGAACCCGAGAGGAAAAGCTGCCCACTCGTGGGGCACCAGGTAGAGGCCTCAAGGGACGCTGTGCCAGCAGTGGGACAAATCAGCCCCATGAAAGACCACCCTAGCCCTGGCCAGGTCACCTGCTGTGGCAGACAGGAATAAGCCCACAGGTAAAATGCACACCCATCAGAGACCACGAGGTAGCCAACCGGAAACACAGGTGACCCACCCTGAAGACACGGGTGGCCCACCAGGCCAAGGCCAGACCTGAGAGGCGAGGATCGGTGGACAGGATTAACACAGTTACTTTAGCTCCACCCTAACCTTCAAGAAGGTGGAGGAGGCCAAGCACGTCAGGCACCCACCCACAGAGACCCCAACCAAACTTCTGGAGATGAAAAGCACACGAGAGGGGACCCCAGACAGACACCATGTAAGAAAAAAATCAGGGAACCTGAAGAGACAGAAGAGAAACCACTAAAGATGAAAAAAAAAAAAGATTAGGAGAAAAAACCCAAACTCAAATATCAATGAGCTGACAGCTCAGGAGTCCCCAAAGAAAGGGAGCAGGATGACCAACAACTGAAGCACAACACACCGTCACCAAACTGTCCCAACCAGGCTTAGGTTTAGGTGTCTTTAAAGCTGCGAGCAGGAAAAGACAGACTGTACTTAAGATCACCCCAGACACTGTGGCCTGTCATCCCAGCAGCTCAAAGGTCAGGAGGCTGAAGCAGGAGGATCCCAAGTTCAAGGCAAACCTCAGCAACTTAGCAAGGCCCTAAGCAACTCAGTGAGACCCTGTCTCTAATAAAATATGTTTTTAAAAGGGTTGGGAATGTCGCTCAGTGGTTAAGAGCCCCTTGATTCAATCCCTGGTACAAAAAAAAAGAAAGAAAGAAAAAAGAAAAGAAAGATTAAGAATTCTTACCCAGGAAAATATAATTCAAAATGGAGGTGAACGAAGACTTCACATGTACAAACACTACAGGCGTCCACACCAGAGCCCCACACTGAAAGTGATCTCAACAGGGACCGGACCCAGCAAACAGGAACAAAGGCTTGGCTCAGTAATCATATTCTCTTCTTACTTACAAACCTCTTTAAAATTATGTGTTTAACCCGGGGGAAGCCACAGATCAAAGGAACTTTCCTCAACATCATAAAGGCCATCTATGGGGCCGGGGTCTTAGCTCAGTGGCAGAGCGCTTGTCTAGCACATGAGGCACTGGGTTCCATCCTCAGCACCACAAAAAAGCTTAAAAATTCAAAAATAGGTTGGGGATGTGGCTAAGTGGTGGCGTGCTTGCCTGGCATGCGTGAGGCATTGGGTTTGATCCACATAAAAATACTGTATCCACTTTAAAAAAACTAAAAAATAAATATTTAAAAAATAATCAAAAAACTCAAATAAATACATAAACAATCAAAAAAAATCAAAAATAAATAAATACATAAATAAAGGTATTGTATTCTCCTACTACAACTCCAAAAAATTTCATCTAAAACCAGGACCAAGACGGGGCTGTCCACTCTCATAACTCCTATTCAATGCAGTCCTCAAAACAACAGCCAGAGTGATCAGACAATAAAAGGGTACAAACAGGAAGTCAAACTATCTCTGTTTTCCAACAATAAGATCCTATACCTAGAAGACCCAAGAAACTGCCCCAGAAGACTTCTAGAGCTTATAAAGTAGTTCAGCAAAGTAGAAGACCAATACCCATAAATCAATGGCTTTCCTACACGCCGAAGAAGAAATCAGGAAAACCACAACGTTACAATGGCCATATTACCAAAAGCGCCATACAGATAAAATGCTATCCCCATCAAACCACCAATGACATTCTTCAGAGATTTAGGGAAAACAATTCATTTGTAAGAATTACGGGAGACCCAGAGTAGCCAGCGCAATACTAAGCAAGAAAAGTGAAGCAGGAGACTTACAATACCTGACCTAAAATTATACTGCAGAGCGGTGTCACGGAGACCAACGGCACAGAAGACACAAGAATAAATCCACGAACCTAGAGGCATCTGAGAGGTAACAAACGTTCCAAAAAGATATCTTTAAGATAGTAGCCCTTTTAATAAATGGTGCTATGAAACTGGTTAGCTTTGTGTACAAAAATGAAATTAGATTCCTCTTTTTCACCCTGCACAATGGATAAAAGACAAGAATTAGACCACAAATTTTACAGGTGCTACTCCACCACACAGGTGCGGGAACCAACTTCCTGAACGAGACCCCAAAGCGCATTTAATAAATCACGAATTAATAAGTGGGGCGCCAAACAACTAAAAAGCTTCTGCATAGGGGCTGGGGCTGTAGCTCAGCTGGTAGAGTGCTTGCCTTGCATGCACAAGGCCCTGGGTCTGACCCCCAGCACCAACATAAGACGAAACAAAACAAACACTTCTGCATAGCAAAGGAAAGGGTTAGGACGTGGAGAGAGCTTCAGAATGGGAGAAAAATCTTGGCCAGCTACTCCTCCAATAGGGAATTAGTATCCAGAATATAGAAAGAACTCAAAAAACTTAGCACAAAGTCAAAACCAAAAGCCCCACAAAACACCAACCCAATAAATAAATGGACAAAAGAAACAAACAGAAACTTCTCAAAAGGAGGAAACACAAATGGTTGACAAATTGTCAGCTATCCCGCTCACTCCTTGGAATTTTTCCAAAGATCCCAAAGCAGCATGCTACAGTGATCCAGCCACGTCAAGGTTTATAGAGCACAATTCACGATAGCTAGATTATGGAATCAACCCAGATGCCCATCAGCAGATGAATGGATTAAGAAATTGTGGTGTATATCTACAATGGAGTTCTACTAAGCCATTAAAAAAAAAAATCACAAAATTATGGCATTTGCTGGTAAACGGGTTGAAAATGAAGAATGTCGTGTTAAATGAAATAAGCCAAACTCAAAAACTCAAAGATTTGATGTTAGTTTGTGTGTTTTTTTGTGGTGCTGGGGATTGAAACCAGGGCCTTGTGCATGTGAGGCAAGCCCTCTACCAACAGATCTGCATCCCCAGCCCTCAAAGGTCTAATGTTTCCTCTCATTATATGTAAGCTAGAGTAAGATAAAGAGGGAGGAAGGATAGGACCCAGATTAAAAAATACATTAACAGGAGCGAAAGGAAGTCAGGTGGAGCCCAGAAGGAAGAATGGGAGCGGGGAGAGAGGACAGGAGGGTAAAGGGGGAAGATCTTGATCTGAAATGGATTTCTATGCAGATGAGTTTGTTGGCATGAATACAGCTACTTTGCAAAAAAAAAAAAAAAAAAGGTAACTACAGAAAAAAAGGCAAGGAAAAAAAAAAAACCCAGTAGCGTAGTGCATGGGTTCTTCTTTTTAAAAATATCTTTATTTATTTATTTTTATGTGGTGCTGGGGATCAAACCCAGGGCTTGGCCCGTGCTAGACGGGCGCTCTACCACTGAGCCACAACCCCAGCCCAGTGCGTGATTTCTTAAAGATGTGTGCTATAATCCCTAAACAACAACACAACAGTTGGGAATGGTGGCATACGCCTGTAATCCCAGCAGTTCAGGAGGCTGAGGAAGGAGGATTGCAAATTCAAGGCCAGCCTCAGCAATTTAACGAGACCCTGTCTCAAAATGCAATATAAGGGCTGGGATGTGGCTCAGTGGGAGCGCACCCTTGGGTTCAGCCCCCACAGAGGAATAGCAAACACAGCAAAAGTTATAGACAACAAACCGAAAGTCGCACAAAGACACGGTCCACAAGAAGGCAGACCAACAGGAGAAAGGGATTGGCGCAAAGGGAAACAGCGCAGCAGTGACTGGTGACGCCACGGACTCAGGACGTGGAAAGAGCCCTGGACACGGCAGTCCTGGCCTCAGGCCCACCACTGATCCAGAGGGTCAGCCTGGGTGAGGCATTTTTCCTCCTGACCTCTGGGGTCCCCAAGGAGACACACCGCAGGGCCCTTGTGCCCGGGCTCTGCCGTTAGCCCTCCAGTCAGAGACGGGGCCTCATAGCTTCCCAGCCCCCAGCACCAGGGAGCTGAGCCAAGACGGTCCTTTACTATGTCACTCTGAACGTCCTCACAAGGGCACCACTTCCGATGACAGATGAGACCCAGATGGGAGGAGACACCACGATAAGCTCTGGTGTCCTCATTCCTCGCCACATGCCCCGGTCTCCAGCTCCTCAGAGCCTCCTCTGACCACTTCACCTTGTCCACCACCTTGAGCTTCTGGCCAGAGCCAAGTTCCTGGGGCAGGGCCATCAGCCACTCCAACCCCAGCTGAAGAGTCACCTCCCAGGTGGACACAAGGCCTCGCTGGGGTGCGAGGAGCCTCCCTGAGCCACGTGCACCTGGGCTTTCCAGCAGCACCTGCTGCGATGCCAGCGGCCGCGAGAGCTACCCAAGCCGGCTGTTCAGAAAAGCTCGACATGATGGACGCTTTCTCGGGTGCTGACTGCCTACTGCTCCCTGGATGGCTAATCAGTGACAAGATCAGCGACAGACTCGTGGACGCAGGATGAGGCCATGCTAGAAACCCATAAAATGTTTCTGCCTGAAATCCTGCACCTTTCACACCATGAGGTCCTGAGCCTCCCCTCTCCCTCGGGGGCCAGGGTGGTCCTGAGGGCTTGGCATCAGGCTGTTTCAGGCATTAACTCCAGGACAGTGCAGTCATTTCTAATTGCCCTTCAGGGCCTGTGGGGGGCTTCTGAACTGTGTACTTTCTCTCCTGTGTATTCCAACAGCACTTTAGTGATTTGTTTTTTGGTACCAGGGATTGAACGCAGGGAGCCTAACCACTGAGCCACACCCCCCCACCTTTTATTTCTTGAGACAGGGTCTTGCTAAGTTGCTGAGGGTGAGCCTTGAACTTGGGATCCTGCTCTCTTGGCCTCCCATGCTGCTGGACTACAGGACTGTAGTGTACAGCACTGTGCCCTGCTAGCGACTGATCTTTAAACCATCATCACATTCCACTTTATCAAAGTACACATAAAATGCCAGAAGATAGAAAGGCCGAACCCACACTTACCATTAAGGAAAACACCAGCACGCGGCTGTAAGTTTGCACAGACCAGAAGAGTCTGTGTGTTTATGACAAATCACAAAGACAGAGAGGGTCTTAGGTAATGGCTACCTACACATGGTCCCAAGCAGGGGTAAGAAGGAGCCTTCTGCCTTGCTTCCCAAGGGATCCTGATAGCCCTGAACCAGAAAATAGGGCACACTACTGGGAGCTTGGTGGGTCTCCCCTTTCGGACATTTAAGACCAGAAATGAGAATCAATGAAACCAACAGCAAGCAACAAGCTCTCTAGCTCCTTTTTTAACCCCCAATTTTTTAGGCTGCACATACCTTCCCGTATTTGCTGAAGAGGTTCTTCAGGTCAGTGGCACGGGTGGTGGAGGACAGCCCGCTGACCCACAGATTCCTTCCCGAACTGCTGCCCACACGGCCTGCGGGAGAGGGAGATCATGGCACTCACCTCCAGGCACACTGGGAAGTGTCGCCGCCCTGAGAACTGCAGCCCCTTCTAGCACCCTCACTGTGCCCAGCGTCAATGCCTCTACCTTATGGCACTGCAGTGCCACCAACCCACAAGGCAGACAGGGAAATTCTGCCAGCAGAAGGTGAGACTCTCTGTTTGAGGACTAACAGCAGAGCCATCTCTCATGGTGGAATCCTCTTTGGACGACTGGTTCTCAATCAAGACTGCAGTGTCTGAAAGGGTCACCTCACTATTACTCAACGGGTTGAAGTGTACCCATCTCGGAATGCGAATCGCACTATCCATAAATAAAAACCACGACTGACACAGAGAGCACAGTGCTCCCAACCACCCAACTCATCCCTAGAAACCATCAGCGGCTAACTGTGGCAGCCCAACATGATGGCCCGGACACGGGGACCAGACGCGAGGGCTGCGCGGCCCCTCCCCCAACACCAGCTAGTCCTCGCCCCCGCGACTGGGAACTCCTACCTTTTTCATCTTTAATGACTGGCTTTATATCTTTTTCTTCCTTAAAAGAGCTAGAGACAAAAGTTAATGTTACTCATACAGGAAAAAAACTAAAGAGAACTAAATTAAAGGTATGATATGTGCTAAAACTGAATACCTACCAGAAAATTAGTCTGAAATAAAATTTTAAGACACCTTTGTAAGCTTATTTTGGAAAATCTGACCCCCAAAATACAATGTCAGATTTGTAAAAGTCAATGTCAATTCAATTAAGCTGAAGATAACAATTAACAATTTAAAAACACAACCATGGTAGGTTGATAAGAAATAAAGGAATGGAATCACCCATTAAAAAGACACAGAGAAATAAACACTGTTGGGAGGTAAACTACAATTTCAGCAGTCTGGCTGGCCAATTGCAGAAAAAACAGCTTATGTGTGTCATTAAATGACCAATGAAAAGGAGATAGCGTCTGGTCTAAAACTGAGAAACAACAAACCTCATTTTCTGATCAGCGCCCTCACTGGTTGAGGACTCTTTAGGAGCCGGAGGGACTTCATTACAAGCTTCAAAATCAAACTTCTTCACGTCTTCTTTGCTATCTCTGGGCTCTGGGCTTGGAGCTTCCGTGGGCGCTTCCGCGGCCTCCTGGCTAGAGGCCTCCGTGAGCTCGGAGCCCGCGCTACTCTGCTCAACTGGCTTCTCTAGCCCTACAGGCTCACAGTCCGTCCTCGCGCCTTCGCCTGTCTGCTCCACGGGCTCCCTTTTCACTACCGCTAACAGGGTGTCTGCCTCGCTCCACTGAGCGCGTGTTGACTCGCTGGCCAAATCTAAATCTCCCTCCTCCTCCTCCTCCTCCTGCTCTTCCTCTTCCTCCTCTTCCGGGTGGGCGCTGCCAAAAAGGTCCTCTTCCTCCGCAAGCTTTCTGTCTGGCCCCACGCTACTTGTATCCTGTGCAAATGGCTGCTCCAGCTCGGAACCTTCTTCTTTTACTGGCTCAGATTTACAAGTTTCCCCCAAAATGTCGAGTATTTTCTCATTTTCTACGGATTTAACAGGAATAGAATGGCACAAGGTTTAATTACCAGGGAAATAAAGCAATCACAATGTGGAACTGGCACGGCTGCCACACTAACACGAAGAGAACTGCTAGCTACACAGAGATTGGAAAACCCGCGGGTACACACAGTTACACTGGTTACACTACCTGCGCGCCGCCTACTAGGTAAGCCTCTACGCTACAGGGGAGAGAAAAGCCCCAGATTTAAACACCTACAACCACTGGGCTGTTTCAAGACAGACTTCCAAGTTTTGTAAGATCTGGGTCTTCCAACTTATCTTCCAATGTCCCGGTGCCGAATCAAATGCAATCACCGTGCACTGAACAGTTTAATTTCCAAACTTCTTTGATTTTCAGTTAACAAAACAGTTCAATGTGAAAACCAGAATCTCTTCCGTCAGCAGGAGATAAACACAGTCCAGAAGGGGAATGCGATGTTGGAATTTTCTTGAAGAAACTCTGCCTCCTCTTCTGGAGTCCAGACACTTCTCGGGTTACCGAGCCCTGACACCAGCGTTAGCCTGCCTTACTGCGTTCACCAAATCGACTGCAGCAAAATATCACAAGATCTGTTTCATGTGTAGAAACACATGGAAGAAACCCAGGGGGAATTACTTAAATGCCACTCCATGTGGATAGAGATGAAAATCATCACTACATCTCAACCAAAATGTCTGACCTCAAGAAGCCAGAACAGCACTCTACAGATCTGGTGATACGTACGGGTTTCCAATCTCTGATCCTCGTACGATCTGGATTGTCCACCACTAGGGTAATTTACAAGACCATAACACAGCTTAAGATATACACCGCTTTAAATAAGAGTAGCGCGAAAAATTCCAAACCATACTGTCGTGTTTCTCTTATCAGTACCTGGCTCCAAGAGAGGTTCTTCAATATCCTATTTAAGAAAGACAAGAAAAAGCAGATCCACAGTCACTCTAAAAGCTGCATGGGCACGTTACCCGCAGACTCGGCTTCAGTCTCCAGTAAGGAAAGGCCTGTTTCCAGACTCTCCAAACACCCCATCCTACAGCACCACAGCCACCACACTCTCACACGGCCACTTCCTCTGGGACCAGTGGGATGGCAGTGGCAACTCCAGCCTGCCCTGTTCACCCCCAAATGTGGCCACCATACTCTGTCCCCAAAATGATCAAGGCCACCATAGTTGGCAGGGACTTCTGGGTCAAAGCGGAGGTTCTACAGCCTATCGCTGCACCTCACAACGGATTGAGGTAGAAAAACCATCTCCCCACGGCCAGCTGGTATTTGTAACCAGAACTTTTTATCTTTAACAGACCAGACCTCTCTCTTCCCTGCTGCAAACCTCCCAACTACCCCTCCAGGAAGCAATCATACCCTCCCTGGCTAGGGCAGCTGAGCCCTGCTTCTGTACTCCCACCCTGCCCTCTTAGCCACTGCCCACACCATGGCTCCCATTTCCTATTCCCTGTGCTAACTCCAGGCCTGGATTCAGACAGGACTCCTGAGAAACTTGGAGGCACGTTCATGCCGACCAACTGCTTCCTCGCAGCACTTGCTCCTGGTCACATCCCTGTGGGTTCTGTAAGAGCCCCTCATTCCAAACTCTGAGACTGCATCCATTCTACCAAGTACCCCCAGCCCCGGCTCAGCGTCAACACTTAGTCCACGCCCTTCTCCCACACACACTTTCTCTCACTGAGGAAAACTGTTGTTCGTTTCCAAAATCGCAGACTCAGATGATATCTTACCGGAATCACTTTGAAGTCCAATGATGAAGCTTCCAAAGTGCTCTCGAAGCCTTCCCCATCCACCTGAAAAAGGAGATAGAGCGTTACTTTATGGGCACCAGAGCTGTGAATGCTAAGGCCTGCAATTTGCCACTTGTGTCCCTGTCCTTCAAGTGCCTGTGGCCACATGCAGACCCACTGTGAGATCACTCAGTTTCCCCCTCCCCCTGTCCCTGCACTGCACCACACCTGTGTCCCACAGTGGCTCACAGGTGGTGGGCGCGCTGTCTGCTGGCTGAAGAACAGGAAACCGACTTCCAGGGCAGGTTCTAAGCACCGGTGGTTTACTTCCACTACCCAAGCCCAACTTTTCCAAAGTAGAAATCAAAAGGTGAGCCAAAATTTAAAATCGGAAACTCCTCCAATTTCACTTGATAGCAATACTTTACTAGGCACTTTTTTGTAGGATTTTTTTTTAAGCAGTGCCAGAGATGGAACCCAGGACCTTGTGCATGCTAGGCAAGCAGTCTGCCACTGAGCTACACGCGGGCCTTCAAGCTTTTATGTATAGTGATCCCTCCTTTTTCTAAATCAGAACCTAGGACCTAGATGCCTTCAAGAAGCAGGAAGTAAGAAAGCAAGCACACCCTGGAAATGGCAGAAATGGCACCACAGCAGGGTGCGAAGAAAAGAGGGCAAGCCAGCTGCTCCACGCCACTCGCCAGACGAGTGGATCGCGAGTCTGGAGCTCACAACTTCCGACGTCAGGGTTAAGATTCAGTCCTATAAGGGCCTTTTTCCCCAAAGGTGAAAGCTAAAATGCCTTAAAATAAAATAACCAACTACAATGGCTGGGCACGTGTCACAGTCAGGTTAAGATGACACTCAGTGCTAGGGTGGCGTGAGCCATAAGTGTCTGGTCTGTCATTCTGAGCACCTCCCCAACAGTAGGAGGGCCTGGATGGCGGGTGAGTGACCATTTGTTACCTCTGTATTCACGCTCCATGTTAAACACACACATATAACCTTCTTAAAAGGAGAAGACTCTCACTAACCGTGTCAGCCGTCTGTTTGATGGCTCACAACACCACAACACGCTGAGAAATGGTCTGCCTGCCAAATACTCTCCAATACTCACCATGCTCTACTTCAAAGCCATCTACTGTTTAATTCCTGACCCGCGTGGTGCTTAAATGGAGGTAACTGCTACCAGGGCTGGGCCCCCGCCAGGAGCCCAAGGGATGAGCCCAGGCTCCCCCACACCAACAGCCCGACCGCTGGGTGCCTCGGGCTGCTCGCACGCACCCGCGTCTCCAAGTTACCTACAGCGTGTTCCGTGAGCTGAGCTGGAAGCTGTCCCAGCCGCGCAGCCACGTACTCTTTACTGCGGCAGAAGGAGGCGAGAATGCCGTCGGGGGCGCTGTCCTCCCCAAAGTCTGCAGCGCCACTGCTCTCAGCCTCAGCGCCGTCCAGAAGGCGCATGTCCACCACGCCCATGTCCTGCAAACTCTCCAAACCTGCTTCCACGTCCTCCTGAGAGGAGAGGACGGGCATGAGCAAGGCTGAGCAGAGCGCGCAGGGCTGCTGCGGCCACCTCCCCTTCATCGCCATGTACCTGCCCGTCCCTGGAGTCTTCTTCCAGGCCGTTGTCCTCTGTGCCCTCCTCCTCCACCTTTTGTCCTGAACACAGAATAACAGCCCATCAGCTAGCGCGCAGGCGCTGGACTCAGGAACTCACACAGGACAGACTGCAGTCTTTGGCTAGACTGGGTTACAAAGGAAACTAAAAGTGTCTTTTTCTATCACTGTAATTTTGTCTCCACTGATGTTCTAAGCAAGCCACCAGCTCTCACGGGAACAGCCAAGGTGTCAGTAACCTCTCTAGATATTGACGTTTTTCACAAAGTAACTATAAGGTTCAAAGCATTTCAAAAGCACTCTAATCACCTTCCTTCCCTAAAATAAGAAACCGCAGAAGACAAGGGTCAAAAAGAAAACAAAAACAAAAACAAAAAACATAAAAGAAACTATGATGCCCTCTAGTCATCAAAGAACTGCATCCTAAACCAGGGTAAGGGGTGGGGCAGCCCTACCCCGTAAAGGAACAGGAAACCAACTTACAGGGTCCCATTCTGAGCACACAGGGGCCAAACCAACCACACAGCAACAAACCACCATGCTGGACTGTCAACTTGCTGGACCTCCCTACCCGCCACCCACTGCAAGCAGGTCACCTGTTTTGTCATTTTTTTCAGCTCAGCAACAATTATTTTCTGTAAGGCAAAAAGGCAAAGGTTGCCCTAAAGTCAAGAGCACCCTGGGTCTTCTGAAGGCTGAAGAATTTCACAGTCACTGAGGCACTGCGGGGGGGGGTGGGTGGGGGGGGGTGGTCTGGTCTGGCGGGAGGGGAGGAAACTTCAAGACTTGACAGGAGGACAAGCTCCCTGGGCTGCACACAGCTCCAGTTCTGAAAACTGTGCACGGTCTCCATGTGCAGCACGCAAACACACCTGATGAAAATGCACACGCACTTGTGCACTCCGTCTCAAAAGTGGGTGTGGCCCAGGTACCCAGGGAAAGCAAGTTAGGGTGCATTTTCACTCATAAATGACAGCCAGAGGTTCTAGTGTTTGGGGCGATCTGGCATGCCAGAGATATTTCTGGTTGTCACAACTGGGGGATGCTACCAGCACCTAGTGGGTAGTGCCAATGCTGTTCAACACCATGCCGTGCTCAGGACACAGCCCTGTCACAGAGTCATCTCACCTGTCAACAGTGCTGAGGTAGAAAAGCCTGACAGGGCCTCATGACTTTAAAAACAGACTCTCAAAGAATACTTGACAGCCTCTGCATCTTTATCTTACAGAAAATAATTGCTGCTGAGCTGAAAAGTGACAAAACAGGTGACCTCCTGTAGGTGGCGGGTAGGGAGGACCAGTAAAGTAACAGTCCAGCATGGTGGTTTGTTGGTCTGTAGAGATCCTCAGCCCCCAGCCCCAGCCCCAGCCCCTACACTGGTTTAGGCTGCAGTTTTCTGATTACTGATCACAACTTTTTATGTTCCTTTTTTTTTTTTTGGAAACCCCCCTGTCCTCTGTACTTTCTTCAAAACAAAGACATCAACTTTTATTAAAATGTCTGTACACATGCAGGCTGGATATGTGGCTGCACCTGTAAAACACAGGGGTACCAAACACAAAGCCCCACCACCTGGGAAGGTGAAGCGCTGTTACATGTTAGAGACCTCGTGCCACAGAGTGGAGGTGAGTATACTTCCTCTAAGTATATAAGTATATTTACATGTTCCAGGTTATCTACAAGTACTTTCTCTAGTTCTGAAAATAAACAAACAAGGAAACCTACCTCTGACTGAAGTTCCACCCTGCAGGATCTGCACGCTGCACACTCGCAGCAGCCCATGCCCTGCTCTCATGGCTGGGCACTGGGAGCTTCTTAACACTCGCAGCAGGCTCCCTGGCTTCAATATCCACAAGTGACATGGGAGAGAATCTGGCTCAGCTCCAAAGCTCAGAACCCAAACTCAGCTGTCCTGCCTCCCATCATAAGTGAGCACAGTCTCTCCTTCTGAAATACATGCTTTAATTATGTTTGGTAATCGTTCCTAATTTCTAAGCCCTTAAACATCCACAAAGGATGTAAAGAGGAGGCACACAAACCAGAAGCTTCCCAAACAGGAGGGGGCAAGAGACCAGTGCCGCAGATGGGCAGCTCCCCAACTCCCAGTGGCTGACCTGCACTAACTGAAAGGCAAGAAGTGGGGACATGGGCGGGAAACTAAAGCTTGCTCTGGCCCATTCCAATTTGGAACCCCCCCCAATATTTGCCTTTTAGCTGTAGTTGGACGCAATGTCCTTATTTACTTTCATGTGGTGTTGGGGATCGAACCCAGGGCCTTGCCTGTGTTAGGCATGTGCTCGGCTGCTGAGCCACAACCCCAGCCCTCACTTTGCATCTTAACCTTTCAAAATCCACTGTCAAGTCTTCAACAGTTTTTCCTGTTTAGATGAATGACGGGAGAGGACTCATGTTTAATCCGCACTAAGGACGTGAAGTTCTGGAATCAGTGCAACTCGGCTGCACAATGATCAGAAACGATTGGCTAATTCCTCCCAATCAGACCCTTTCGTGGAAACACAAGGATCTTCTTTTAACCTTCAAGCCATCAGGGTCCAGCACGTCACGTAGGGAACCTCATGCCCAGACCCTCCAGAGGGAGGTAGCTGACTGAGTCTAACTCTGCCCGGGGACCCGGGCCACCGGTTTCTTCTCTCTGGAACTGGCAATTTCCATTTAGAAAGAAGGGGAAGGGACCAGAAGCGCTCTAATCCCTCAAGAGCCAAGGCTATGAAAGTTTTCTCTACACTTATGGAAGTAACCACTGTCTAAGCTTTGTTGACAAAATGCTAATTCCAAGTAGTTTTGAGTTGACCTGCTTTAAACCAGTCTTTCAGACAAGCGTGTGAATGACTAACAGCTAAACTTCTACTAAGGTTGAGTTGGTTTAATGATACAAAGATGCTGATAGAAGCCAAGGACATTTGAATTAATACGCCCTGAATCTGTTTTAAATGAAACACCTACATTAAAAAGTTTTAAACTATTATTTTCACAAATATTCAGAAACATACTTTCAGATCACAAATAACATCTCATCAGAAGCCACCTATATGTTACAGAGAGTCTCAGAGTCTAGTCCATTCAGTGTCCCTAGCTCAAAGACAATCCAGTGTTGAAGTCAGGATCTGAAAGGTTCAAACGTGTTGAAGACCTGGTCCCCAATGAGGTAACGACCAGAGATGAGGCTTTTGGGAACCAACTACACCATGTTGCTCTAACCTCCAGGGTGGACGACAAGTCTGCGGGCTGAGTGATGTATAGGAACCTTAAGAGGTGGGAACTGCAGGCAGGTAGGCATGGCTGGAGGAAGCAAGTCACTGGGGGATTGCCCTGGGAGACCGTGTCCTGTCCCTGGCCCCTTCCCTCCCTCTCTCTGCTTCCTGGACTCATGAGTTGAGGTTTGCTCTGCCATGATGCTCTGCCTGACCTCTGGCCCAAGGCAATGGAGTCAGCGGACAGTGGACTAAAACCTTAAACCAAAATAAACCTTTTCTCCTCTAAGTTGTTTGTGTCCAGTATTTTGGTCACAGCAAAGAAAAGCTAACACAAGAACAAAAAGATACATCAATGTTTCAAAGTTAATTTTAACACCTTAACTAAAACTTTAACCTTTTAAAACATATGGGTTAGTATGTATTAGGAAGAAGTTGTCCTTCTTTGAAAAAGTGCTAAAGAAATACAATGAGGGCTGGGGCTGGGGCTCAGTGGTAGAGCACTCGCCTAGCACATGTGAGGTACTGGGCTCGATCCTCAGGACCACATCAAGATAAATAGATAAATAAACTCATTGTGTCCATCTACAAACTAAAGAAAAACACACACAAAAAAACAAATTGTTAGAAAACATAACGTATACTATATATCATGTAAAAACATGATGCTAACTATGTTCTTACTTTCTAAGCAACCATCCTCCATTGCCTGAATTTAGTACCATCTGGATGAAGCATGTACAGCTGGGAGATTTTTTAGTTATAGGTGGACACAACATCTTTATTTTATTTTTACGTGGTGCTGAGGATAGAACCCAGTGCCTCACGCCTGGTAGGCGAGCGCTTTACCTCTGAGCCACAGCCTAAGCCCAACTGTGAGAATTTTCACATGGCACCTTTCCAGAAACAATTCTAGGAGTTGGGGATGTAGCTCAGTGGGGGAGCACTTGTCTAATATGCACAGGCCCTAAGTTCCATCCCCAGCACCACAAATAAACAATCTGGTCATGATAGCCCATGCCTAAGTGGCTTGGGAGGCTAAGGCAGGAGGAGGGCAGTTCAAAGCCAGCCTCAGCAACTTAGTAAGGCCCTGTCTCAAAATAAAAAAAAGGGTGGGGATGTGTCTCAGTGGTTAAGCGCCCCTGGGATCGATCTCTGGTACCCCACCCCATGATTTTAAAAAACATTTTTAATTGTAGATGGACACAATAAATTTATTTATTCTCTTTTTTTAATGTGGTGCCAAGGATCAAATGCAGTGCCTCACACGTGCTAGGCAAGCGCTCTACCACTGAGCCACAACCCCAGCCCCTTCCCCAAATTTTTATTAAAAAATAAATTAGAAAACATCAAGTGTGGTTGCACACACCTATAATTCCAGCCACTCAGAAGGCTGAGGCGAGACGATCACAAGTTCAAGGCAACTTAGCAAGACTGTCTCTCAAAATAAGATGTAAAAAGAGCTGGAGATGTAGCTCAGTGCCATGAAAAGAAATACACGTCATCACACAGAAGTCTCAGATCATATTGTCCCCATCGCTGTAAAATCTAATGTGAACAATAATTAGAACAACCAAAGTTCTGGAGTTTCAATATTTAAAACTAAGTGCTTTTGAAAATAACCAGTAGCAGCCACAAAATAGAATGAAGTCCTGATGTGTCACATGGCTGGGCCTTAAAAGAAAAAAAGCAGCTAAATGAAGGGGGCTGGCAGGAAAGGCCATTGGAGCCCACTCACATGGAACACCTGCAACAGGTGACTCCAGAGTCAACGGGGCTCCTGGGGGCTGGACACACAGGGACAGGAGAGTGATGGCTAATGGGCTGGGGTCTCCTTTTGGGGGAAGGAAATGTTCTGGAATGAAGACAGTGGTGGTCAGTGCATGTTCTCGTGAACACAATAAAAGCCCCTGAACTGGACACCCTAGGAATTAAGATTTGTGAATTCTATCTCAATTGTTGGAAAAAACATACTGGTAAGACATAAGCTGGGTACAAATACCCTAACAATCTATTTTGGATCCTAGACAGCAGGACGGGCTCTATTTGGTCTCGGGCTGGTTTCATTTTCCTTGGTTTGTTATTTTTTGAACAAGGAAGGGAGCCAAGCAAGTGCCACACTGAGTTGCTCAGAGCAGGAGGGCAGCCCAGGCCGTGCTGCACTGGGCTCTTTTCAAGCCCTGTGTGCCCTGTACTGGGGACTGCAGGGGGGTCGTGGGGGGCTTTACCACCGAGCTACACACAGCCCTTTTCATTGTTTGAGACAGGGTCTCACTCAGTTGACTGGAGCCTCTGAGTGGCTGAGCTTAACCTTGAACTAGTGCTCCTCCTGCCATGGCCTCCCTAGACGCTGGGTTTAATGTGTATTTTAACTTTACCTGGCACTGTGCACCTGGCGCACCTACTTAGCAGGTAGTGAAGAGCAAGCCTGGTTCTTAGAGGGGACGCTGATGGCCAGCAAAGTCCTCCTCCCAGCCTGAGGGGCAGGAAGTGTACAAGAGCGACTCCTGGGCTCCAAGCAGCCAAGGGTCAAGTGGTTACCTTTAACACATCTCTTGGTCGTCCTCCTGCTTGTGGTTTCCAACTCGATGCCAACTTCGTCAGGATCTTGCCCTTCTTCCTTAACCGCCTATTAGGAAGAGATGATGATTTTTTACAAGGTCATTAAGAGCTGGGCAGCAGCACACACTGTTCTTTGTAAGTAGCAACTCCCCAGTAAACAACAGCGAACCCCCTCTTGCAAAGAGCAACTCCACTTCTGTTGTGCGGGTTGCAAGCCTAACACAGGACGATCCCAGAACAAGTGGGTTCTCCTTGGGCCCAAGGCCCAGAAGACAAAGGGGAGGCAGGCTGTGACCCTGGGCTCCAGAACTCATCTCAGAGCCCAACCTTGCACTTTTAAGTTATACCCCGGGACAACAATGAGAGAGACGCGCCGGCCAGGCCAGGGGCTGGGTGGGTGGCCTCACTCAACAGGGCCTTCCCCTCCTGGTCCAGGACCCACAGGCCTCTGTGCCCAAGGAGCTTGTTCCAGTTGGGACCCTCCCCCTACGACTGGGGGATGTGCCTCTAGGGAGGGACACAGGACGCGTGACCCTGGCAGGGAGCTGGAGCAGCAGCACCTCAGTGGAGGTGGCCACGCAGGTGACATCTCAGACAGACCCCAGATGACCCCAGGCTCCAGCCAACCTGGGGGCTGGAGTGGAGGACGGACTAGTGCAAAGGCCTTGGGGCAGGGGCGGGCAGCGCCTCCCCGTGCGTCCAGCTCTTCAGTCCCCCATTCTCCAGAGCAGGAGACCGAGGTGCAGCAGGACAGGCGGGCGCCGCCAAGGTCACAGCGCCCAGCCCCGACCCAGCCCCGCGAGAGGTTCGGGGCCGCACCGGGGCGCAGGCGGGAGGGGGCCGGGAGGCGAGGCACAGAGAGGGACGGAAGCGGGCCAAGGTCACACAGCCGGCCGCGGTGACAGCCCGAGCGGGGCCGTGCCGGGGCCGTGCCCGAGCCGCCCGCGCCACCCCCGGGGCCCGGCCGCCTCACCTTCTTGAGCCGCTCCATCAGGACGCTCTTGTTGCCGCCGGTGTCCAGGTTCCGCTTCTTGAGCTCCGCCCGCAGGTCGATCACCCGCAGCTCGCTGAGTCGCCGCGTCCCAGCCTCCGAGGGGCCCGGGCCGAGAGCCGCAGCGCCAGAGCCCATGTCTCCCGACCCCGCCAGGGCCTCCGCCATCCCCGCTTTGCGGTCGCCGCCACTGACTCTGCCCACACCGCCGGCGGCTGTAGCGGCTCTGAACACAAAATGGCGCCGCCAGAGAGGAAAACGCACTCGCTTCCTCCCGCCCCGCTTTGCGGCCGCGCACGCGCGCCGCTTCCACTAGCGGTCTCCGCGGCACCCGCGCGAGCGCGTCTAGCTGCTTGACTTCCCCCCGCCACATCGCGCCTGCGTTAGTCCTGCAGCACGCATGCGTCGCGGCGGCCGGTCGGCCAGGCGCAACGCGCCTGTGCAGATCTCTCCGAAGTTCTCTGCACGCATGTGCAGATGCGACCCGGAGCGTCGGCCTCGCGCCGGATACGCCTGCGCAGAAGCGAGGCGCGCCGGGGCGGCTGGAGCGGTCCCCTTGCAGGCGGCGCCATTTTGTGCTAGAAGCCGAAATAAAACCGGCCTGGTTCTGTGTGAGGTGGGTGTCGGAGCCAGGGTCCCTGGAATGGCGGAGACTCTGTCTGGGTTAGGGGATTCGGGTGCGGCGGGTGCGGCTGCTCTGAGCTCCGCCTCGTCGGAGACCGGGACGCGGCGCCTCAGCGACCTGCGGGTGATCGACCTGCGGGCGGAGCTGAGGAAACGGAATCTGGACTCGAGCGGCAACAAGAGCGTTTTGATGGAGCGGCTGAGAAAGGTGAGGCGCGGGCGGGCCGCGGGCGGGCGGCCGCCAAGGTCACGGCGCGGGGCTCCGCGCTCCGGCGGGAGGCGCGGGCGGGGGCGGCGCGGGTCGCGGCGCCGGGGCGGGAGAGACCGGCCGCGCCCCCGGGGGCTCTCGGCTTCCTCACGCCGGGCCGGGGGCCGGGAGGGGGCCGCGTCGGCCTTCCCGGCGTGGACAGGCCCGCGAGGCTGCTGCGGTCCTCGAGGCGCGACCCCGGCGCGCACCGCCCGTTACTGCCTCGGCCGTCCCCCGGTGTCCTTGCCTCGGTCGTTTCTGCGGGAAGGGCACTGACCGCGCGCCGGCGGGACTGGCCGAGCCCTGCAGCCTGCCTAGAGCTCGGTTCCCCCGCCGTCACCGGGGTGCGACCTGGGACCCCGCCTGCGGGGGCAGGCCCCGTCTCCGCCGTGAGCCGTGCCCAGTAGGTTTCAGCGGTGGCTGTCCCCGAGGGCAGGGCAGGGGCCGGGGCAGTCGGGGCGGAGTGCCGGAGGCGGCGTGCACCTGCTGCGGTGCAGACCAGGGTGGGCCCCAGCCCCCAGCTCCCAGCTCCCAGCCAGGGAGCTCCTGGGCCTCGCCGAGGCTTCTGGAACCGTCTACAGACAGAACCCAGCAGTTGAAGTGGCTTTGAGCAGAACCCGGTTGGTGCCAGGAGCCGAGGCCCCGGGTGCTCGCCAAGACAAAGCGGCAGCGGCACAGAGAGGGGTCGTCAGGGAGACCCGACTGCAAGCCCAGCTTCTACGGAGGTCACCACTGACATGAACGGTGCCGGTTTGCAGAGTGTCTCATCGGTGCCAGCCACTGTGCTGAGCTGGGGTCTTTCAAGTGAATGGCAAATTCTTGGGGAGAAAGATGGGACCTGCCAAGAAATTCTTATGATTCGTGGTTCTAGGAAGCAGGGCCACCTAGTGATGGAGAGGGAGATCTCTGGGCAGTGTGTTTGAGATGGCCTTGGGGTGCAGCAGGCTCCCTGTCGTTCCTGGTCCCATGCCTAACCCGACTGGAACTCAGGCAATGAGTGGTCGTGCTTACCCACAGGACCAAGGCGGGCATGGCCAGGAAAGGGGTGGCTGGTCACTGCAGGACAAGTAGCGCTGTGCTGGGTCAAGTCAAAGGAAATGAGAATGTACCTTTTCTTTTCTGAGTTTTTTTTGGCCGGGAACAAGATGAACCAGAAGAGCTGGAGATGAGTTTGTTTTTAAGAGTCCTTGCAGCAGCCTGAGGAAAAGACCAGACTCAGTGTTAGATTTAGTGTAAGGTAAATCTGCCTCAAACCACAGTTCAGACCTCCAGCGCCCTGCTCCCACGGAGAGCAAGAGAACAAGTGACCAGCTGTGGTAGATAGGTGTGCACTGGGGAAGAGCATTTTCAGATCTGTGTTAGCTCTGTTCTCAGGATGGGATTCCCATTTCACTTGAATGTTCTGTGAAAGTCTGTGTGTGCTGTGGGTTTGTTTGTTTGTTTTGAGACACTCACTTTTTCGCCCTGCCCAGCCCTGAACTCCTAGGCTCCAATGATCTTCCTTCCTTAGTTTCCTGAGCGGCTGGAATGGTAGGTACATATTGTGGCCAACATTTTTTGGTCAGCTTGTCTTTACTTCCCTTTAGGCAATTGAAGATGAAGGTGGTAATCCTGATGAAATTGAAATTACCTCTGAAGGAAGCAAGAAAACACCAAAAAGATCCAGCAAAGGTACCAAGGACTTATACACGTGTGCTGTTTCTTGCTTATTTGGTTGTGATTTTGGACCTGTGACAATCAAGAATCCTTTGGGGGACCTTTGCCTTGTCATTCAAGTTCTGCTTCCCACAGTACCTGGGAATTCTAGCAGAGGGTTTACCTTGTTTTTGGATTTGTGAGTAGCCCTTGTTTAACCAAACCCTTTTTGTGGGGTGGTGGATACCTTCATGTTGAACCCAGGGAGCTTTACTATTGAAACATATCCTCAACCTTTTTTGTGTTTTAATTTCGAGACAGGGTGTTGCTAGATTGCTTAGGTCCTCGTTAAATTGCTGAGGCTGCTCTCAAACTTGAGATCTTCCTGCCTCAGCCTCCTGAGGTGCTGGGATTATAGGTGTGCCCTATTGTACCTGGCCAAATAGAGTATTTAGGTTGCTTGGTTCTCCTGTTGCTCTAACTTGCTAGAATGTAACGTTTCTTTGAATACCACTTGACCCATAAAGAACGGTCACATTTCTTTCAAAAACTGCCTGTAGGATGAAAGCCAGGTTCACATAACATTAACCTTCATCATCTGGTCCGTTCCCTCCCACTTCCTCTCTCCCTTCTATTCACTCTTGGCCCTCTGGACCGTGGTTTTCATGTCTCACCCGCTCTCTCTGTGTTTAGGGCCTTGTTCATCCAGAGACAGCTTCTGATCTCATTGGTAGCAGCTCACCTCAGGTCCTCTGCACTCCCTTAGCCTAATTCCCTTGAACCTTGTTCAGTGTTTAGCTATCCTGCTTTGTGTCCTGACTAGATTTTTTAGGATGGGAAGATTTTTGCCTTGTCTTCTTTTTTCCCTTGGTAGTTTGTCTTCGTATTTTGAAAGAATCATCTAAAGCTATGCATTTGGGCCTCTTGATAATTGAAGGCCGTGGTGTTCAGACCTCAAACCTAAATACTGCTGTGTACTTGCCAGTCACAAGGAATGGGGTTTGAAGTGTCCCAGAGACAGGCCCAGTGTCCACCATATTTTGGGAGATAGGTCCTGGGAGAGCAGCCCCAGTGACCTCACTTGAAATGAAGTCATTTGAGTACGTTTTGCATTTTTGGCTTTGCTCAGATAAATGTCTGTGTAGAGGAAAAGATTGCTAGAGGGTCGACATGCCTGTGGGCCTCCTTTTTTATTTCTTTTCCATTTAGTTAAAAAAAAAAAAAAATTGGGGGGGGGCTGGGCTGGGGCTCAGTGGTAGAGCACTTGCCTAGCATGTGTAAGACACTGGGTTTGATTTTCAGCACCACATATAAATAAATGAGTAAAATCAAGATCCATCAACATCTAAAAAGATTTAAAAAAAAAGAAATGGTTTTGCTAAAGTTTTATAAAATACATGTATTTATGTCTGGTGCAGTGGCCCACTCCTTTAATCCCAGCAGCTGGGAGGTTGAGGGAGGAGGATCCCGAGTTCAAAGCCAGTCTCTCAAAAGTGAGGCATTAAGCAACTCAGTGAGACTTTATTGCTAAATAAATACAAAAAAGGACTGGGGATGTGGCTCAGTGGTAAGTGCTCCTGAGTTCTGTTTCCTGTGCCCTCCAGCCCCCATTCCCCCCAAAAAACCAAAATATGCATTTAAGTAAAAATGAGAACTTCTTCCCAGTCAGGTAGCCACTCACTGGTAAAAGATGGGGCATGATGTCCAGATATTCTGTGTGTATTCTGTCATTTAAAAGTAGACATACGAATAGACATATACATGTATGAATTATTTCTCTTTAAAAAATTTTAGTCGTGGGGCTGGGGTTGTGGCTCAGCTGTAGAGTGCTCGCCTAGCACTTGCGAGGCACTGAGTTCAATCCTCAGTACCACATAAAAATGAATAAAATAAAGGTATTTAAAACATTTTTTTAGTCTTTTTATTCAAAATTCTCTATAATTTGCTTTTTTCACTCAATATGGTAAGGACAAAAGAAAAATGATTAGGCCTTGTCCTTTTATAACACCCTAACAGTAATTTTCCACATCAATGTATTATGATTTGCCTTATTAACTCTCCTTACTTTTAGTCTGTTGAGGGCTTTCTTTGTTTTCAGTTTTCATTGTTGTCACAAACCAGAAATACCTCTTTGAAGTTAAGATAATTTTTTGTTTTGTTTGTTGAGCTGAGGTCCTGCTGTGTTGCCTAGACTAGTCTTGAACCCCTGGGCTAAAGTGATCCTCTGGACTCAGCCTCCCAAATAGCTGGAACTTCAGGCACGTACCACTGTGCCTGGAAAAGGAAGATATTTTTTGATAAGTAAAAGAAGAAGTTTGAGGTTAAAGGGTATGATGTTTTAGTTTGAAATAGCTATTGGAAAAATAGTTTTCCAGCAGGCTGTACTATTAATGTCCCTACAAATAGTAGATGAGAGTACCTGTTTCTTTCTTTCTTTCTTTTTTCTTAATATGTATTTTATTTCTTAGTTTTAGGTGGACACAATATCTTTATTTTACATGTGTGTGGTTCTGAGGATCGAACCCAGTGCCTCATGCATGCTAGTTGAGCACTCTACCACCGAGCCACAACCCCAGTCCCTCTTTTTTTTTTTTTTAATTTATTTTTTAGGTGTAGATGGACACAACACAATGCCTTTATTTTTATGTGGTGCTGAGGATCAAACCCAGGTCCCACCCGTGCGAGGCGAGCGCTCTACCACTGAGTCACAATCCCAGCCCCAAGAGTACCCCCCCCCTTTTTTTTTTTTTAAGAGA